GGTAGAGAAAATTGGGAGTAAAGTTAAGCCTGGGAAGAAGGAAGGGGTGGGGGGAAGGTGTTTTTAAGATTCATTTTATTTCTCATTACCCTACTCTGATTTGATTGGTAATAAATTAAACTAATTTTCCCCAAGTCGAGCCTGTTTTGCCCATGACGGTAATTGGTGAATGATCTCTCCCTGTCCTTATCTCGACCCATGAGCCTTTCGTTATATTTTTTCTCCCCTGTCCAGCTGAGGAGGGGAGTGACAGAGCGGCTTTGGTGAGCACCTGACATCCAGCCAGGGTCAACCCACCACATTTCACTTAGAGCAAGAAGAATCTTGTTGGAAGTGTCTACCAGCTTGATTACATTCAAATATATTGAGACAATAGTTTGCTACTAATACATTAAAGTCTTCCACTTGAGGAAGTTTTTCATTAAACATTGTAACATTCTTTTTCATTAAAAAATAATATTCCATTCACATTTACTGCTGATTTATCTTAACAATAGTACAGTTCCTATCTCAGTGTGTTTCTGAAAATACCATATACAATCAATTTAAAGTACCTATTGGTCAGTAAAGAGCCAAGAATCATTAAACTGTCCTCCATCAACGTTATAATTTCTGATGATTCAGTTCCCTTTAACAGTAACTCTCCTCTCCCTTTGAATGATGAAAAGCTCAAAATTTGGCTTCCCCAAATGTCAGCTATTTGAGATAGTTTGGCTTCTATATCCTTTTCCTTTGTAGCAGATATGCATATATCCTGCAAAGAAAGAACCATTTTTTAGAATCTTCATTCTTCAGAAAAGAAATCTTTCCTAATATTACACATCTAGTAACAGAATATTTAAAAACAATATATGGAATTTTATAAAATAGTATAGAAATTTGTCACACAAATGCAGAGATCACACTACTAATTTTACTCACTCAAATTGCATGTATGGATAACTGAAAAGTGCACACTTGGAAATGCATGGATACACCATTTATGTAGCTTCACATTTTGTTATTTCTGTGTAACAAGATTTCTGAATCATCATTTCTACAAGGTTTATGGTAGTCATGTAGACTTATCACCAGAAAACTCTCAATCATATCACATTTCAATTTATAGAATCACAGAATCTAAGAATAGTTTAGGTTGGAAAGGTCATCAAGTCCAACATTCTATTCAAATTAGAGCTTAATTCAAAATTATGCAGATCACCTTGGAATGCTTCCATATAAAACACATATGAATATAACAATAGCTTCTGCATGCATATTTACCCTATAAAACTTGCAAACTCCATTGAGAGTTTTTTCAGGTTATGTGTGGGATCTTTTGAAATTGTATGGTTTGGAAGAAGCCATAAAGATCTAGAAAAGTATTCATATTAAATATTAATAAGCATGGAGCCTTCCTTTAAAATTTCTGATTTATTTACAAATCTTTAAAGCAACCACAGAGTTAAAAAATTAGGTGACCATGATCATTTGAAGTTTTGGTGGTTTTGGGTTTTTTTTTTCCTGTTTAAAAAGAGCAAAGGAAATCACAGAAAATAGGGCCAGAAAGAATGTGAAGAGATTATCTAGAAATAAGTGTCCAAAGATTCCAGCTGCTACCTGTCTTTGTTCATATGGATAAGAATTTCTAAATAAAATATAAATTATTTTAAACTAGTGTGGTCTGATTGAGAGTCAAGGTCTTTAACGAAGTAAAAAATACTTTTAAAAAAGGTGATCATCTTACAAGTAATCATATTATTTTTGCTGACAATATAAAATGAACAAGGAGGGAAAAAATATATGTACCTACCTCAATATCATCTTTATGTTTAAGGATTGGTGCTTCCATGATGTTTCTAAGGCAAAAGGAATCAGTTTCTATATCAAATTGATGTCCTGTTGTTTCAGCAATACGATTCCAGTGTCTTTGCTTCATTGCTTTGTTGATCATCATTTCCAACAAAGGACAAGACTCACTAAAATCATCAATTTTTTTCTTGAGATCTAAAAACGCTTGCCAGTGTTTGAGTCCTTTAGGTAGTCTACGGCACCTGCAGTTGAGTTAAATTGATACAGTAGTAAATGCCTCTTTTGTCAAAATAGGAATTATTTAAACATGTTAAAAACAGCAAGGAGATACGAATTAGCTCATATTCAGATCAACATTTTCTATGTAAAATTCCAATTTGTGTCACTTAGTCTACCTTTTTAGGAAAAACTAATGCAAATGCCCTACTAACAAATCATAATATTTAACAGTTTTAACCACTGATATGTTCTCTACAAATAAACAGAAGTATTGCAGTTTTCATTAAAATATAGCTTATCTGGTGCTTATCATCGCAAACTCTTTATTGGCAAACAAAAAACAAAGCAAAAATAGTTAAATTTCACATATTTAATCCTCATACAAATATAATATTTACTTCATTTTACAGTACCAGTAATACACATGGCACATATTAACATACCACTTCGGAGATAGATGTGAAAATTAGAAAGATATGACCACTTTCTCCTCTGCTTCTGGTTAGTGTTCCTGAAACTATTCACTAAGAAAATGAAAATTATATACTTCTAATGTGGAAAAACCCCAGTAAAACAGCTAAATGAATATTCACCTCTTTGACCATACTTTTACAGAGCCTACACACTAAGAATTAAGCTGTTCACCCACCACAGGAATGTCCTAATGTAAATGATAAAGTACATCCTTAGCAGGAAAAGTAATAAAGCCTGGATCATATTTCCCTTGGTTTTGCATCCTTTGTCACTTATCTCCCGACCTCCCACTGATATAATTTCATATTTTCTGTAATCAGGTACAAAACAGCAGTCTGTGTCTGGTTTAGAGCTATGTTGGTGCTGTGTGGTTGCCAGTACATTCATGTTGATTAGCTCCCTGGTTGCTGTCAAACAGAATATTTAATACCTGCCTGCCTTTCCCTGAGGGGGAAAAGTATTTTGTGTCTTTTTTTGGACTACTGTGAAGTTTTGACTTTTACAAAACTCATAGGCACTTAAGGTTACTTTGTGAGAAACCTGCCTTGTTGAAAGTTGAAACTAGCCAATAGCTTAAAATAAAAAAAAAAAAAAAAAAAAAAAAAAGAGTATTCAAGAATGCTGAAAAAGAGGAGCACAGACATGGTCACACAGTGACATCACAGATCACCTTTCTCCTTAGAAAGCCAGGCAAAACATCTGAATAGTTTATAAATTTCTCTGTTTGCAGCCATTCTTTTCATTCATTAGTAAAGAGTTAATGTCAGGTTCAGTGATTTGGGACACAGGAATCAGATACAGCGGAGAGGTAGATTTTGAATGAAATGCTGCAGGTTCCAGAGCTGGGAGCCCTGTTACCCTTACTGAGTCTTGTGAACCAGGAGATGCTGTTTTACACAAAGACAAGATACTGGCAATTGGGTGTCTGTCAACATCTTGCTTCTTTGAGAGACTCTTAATCCCTGAAATTCTAACAGCATATGTAACCTCAAATTTGGGAAAGAAAACCACTCTTTGGCACATATTTCCTTGAAAGGTTATTAGTCTCTGGTTAATGTTTCCCACTTAGAAATTAAAAAATAACGCAAATCTAAGACCCAGCCTTCAACTCTGACTGTCAAAAGTGCAATTTCAAAACTATGGAAATTCTTCACTTACCAATTTTATGCCTTATAATGACATATTTGATGTATCAGTTAACCTTCAGGAAAACATATATTTACTAGACTACCACGACACCCTGGACTAGCCAATAACAAAAAAAAAATTTCAAGCAAAAAATTGCACATTCTGTAGTACAGATCCTCTTCCCCCTACAGATCCTGCACTGCTCTATAACTGCAGTATAGGTACACTCTAAAATACCAAATACTGGCACAAGTACAAATATACATCAATTAGTCATGCCTTTATTCTGGAAATTAATAATGAAATATTCTGGAACATTGTTCTAATAAGAGGACTGGGGGTGCAAAGAAAGTGCCAAGAAAGCTGGAGTTGTTTTAGGATGGAGCTTGCCAAGCTTATAACAGGACTCTATTAGGTAGCAGGATAGTTGGGTACTGCACTCAATGATGCAGTTATTCTGTTGTAATATAATCCTTGTCCTAGTCTTCTATATAATATTTCTTCCCAAAATAATATATGTACTTTTGAAAATATTAAAAATAAAGTTAAATTAAAAGGTTAGAAAATACTTCTGAAACAAACTAACTACATCTAATCCTCTCAGCAGTGTCAAAACCATTTTAAGCTTTCAACATTATTTGAAAGCTTAATATTTGTATTTTTGTATTTGTAACTTTTTTACAAATATATTTGTAACCTTTTTACAAACCCATTCTATTTAAGACACTCAGCATTATTAATGTATTTGAAATGGCAGAAGTGTTTTAAAAAGAGGATAAAGTATTCTAAAAGACCAGAAATGTTACTCTTGTATTTGGGACTTAAAAATCAATGGGCTAATCCTCCTAATTGAAGAACTTACCTTTTACAAATAAACTCAGCTCTCCTAACCTCTTGGTTGGTTTAGCTAAGGAGATCAACTCTTCAACTGATCGTATGACCTTCCATTATCAAAACTACAGGTAAAAAGGCTGGTTAACTAAAAGTATAGTGTTATTCCACTCTTGAAGAATCTTACTACTTTATGATAAACCTTATTCATGGAAGTTTTGTATTTAAATATATCAAATAGCTTTACTGAAGTCACCTAAATCTTAATGCATTTAACATCAGTTATAATTCATATTACGAACATACCTGTTTTGAAAATCCAGAAGTTCAGCATTAATTTTTTCAATATCTACATCCGTCCAAAGTATCTCATAATAACCATTGATATTGTTTATGACAGTATCATATAATCCATACAATTTTTGAAGCAAGCCTAACTCCTTCCTGGGAAAAAAAAAATCATACCGATAATTTCAATCAGCTATTTGGATATCTCACAATAGTTAAATACATGGTATATGTAATATTACTACAAAAAATTGAGGTAGATCAATTAGATTATGTTTCTTAATGTAGAAAAGAACACTTCATGAATAAAATCCACAAAAAAAAGAGCAGACAGTTGGTGCTAAGGACCTAATATCCACACTAAACATATTTGGGTGAAGTTTTGATTTAGACTAGTTCTATAAAAATTCCATTCATCCAAAAGGAACCTAGCTTATGTACTCTGAGCTGGCTCTGCAGTGCAAAGCAGAGCATGACAAGTGGGGACAATTAGTCAATTTACTTCGGAAGCACTCTCTGAATCTGAACTAAAACGCTGATCTAAAAACAGCCAGAAAGGGTCAGATCCTCATCTGGTGTGAATCATCATCAAACCATTGAAATGGCTGTGCAGAAACTTCAGAATCTGATTTGCATTTGTACAGCTGCTCAAAAATTATATAACTTCACAAAAGTTATTTTTTTAAATAACTGTCGTTAAAACAGGACAATAACTATATAATTTTTTAAATTATATAACTTCATAAAAGTTCTGGTTATATTTTTTATATATGATGATACACTGACCTTTCCTTGCCTTTTCCTTGTTCGCTTTTTGTACCATATCTTAATACATAATACTATATTTACTCACCTACTTATCTATAAGTTGGGTTTTTTCTCCTCTAGGACATGGTATTCTGCTCTTTTATATAGTATTTACATGTAGTAAAATAATCTGGTATGGTTCAGTTACCATAATAAATAAATACAATTATTTTTTATTGGCAAGTTCATTAGACCTGTAAAATTTTCATTAATTTTTTTTTTTTAATTTAATTTAAGGCAATGGAAACCTTCCGTATTCTAATATTTCCCTCTTTGGTGTACCCTAAGCCTTTCTAACATACTTAATAAACACCTAAGACAGCTGTACTTCCACAGTTACCTGACTTTATGCAAAACTTCATAGTCTGTGACAGGCAATCCAAACAACTGCTCACCAGAGGAGTATGTGATAAACTTTCTCCACAGCTCATCAAAGTTAGCCTGATAAAATTAGGATTCATACAGACAAAATGAAAAGATGTTTATAATATAAGTTTTAATTTAAAATTGTCTCATAAAAAAATCATTAAACAGTTCTAAACTTGTCTTAAAATAATTCTATTAGAAGCACATTTAAATGTCTGAAAATATTTTTTATCTAAAATTTTGAACAGTTCTCATGTAATGTAATACTCAAATCCATATATTGAATTCAAATAGTGAAAGTTTATATAAGAAGCAAGAATTTGAAGAAGCATTTTATAAAAATGGGATGTGAAATGAATTCCACATCATCGAGAAAAAAAAAAAATATATTTGTATCAGATGGTAAAATATACAGCCTGAAAAAAAAACACTGAAGGGTGCCAAAAATACAATTACTTTCAAAGTATAACTGCTGTCCAAAGGATATGATCACCATAGAAAAATGGAAAGAAGAATGATTTTGGCAGTTACTATTCATAAATACAAAGCATTCTTTTGGCAAAATAATAAATACAGCATATTCAACCAAAATAACTCCATTTTCAGTATATATTAGATGCATTAGGAGGTTTAAGCACCTTCTGTTAGTTGCTTAGTGCTTTTCACAAACTTTGAATTTACTTTTTACAGAGTCTATACAATAGGTAAGGGACTGACAAAAGTCCTGTTGCAAAAAGTCTTCAAGTTACTGTAATTTGCAGAGAAAGGAAGAAAGATTAAAAATAGACTAAAAACTGGTTATGGACCCATGAACTAAGGTTCATAACAAACAAATATCAAGTTGAAAGACAATTATCTAATGGAAAATGTGATCTTTAAAAGATGAAAAGATTGGCTCATGTGACTGATATGTAACCTGGTTTCTTTTCAGTCATTATCGAGTTGTCGTACTTGACTCTTCCCCCTTCTACTGCTTTTACTGCTTCAAGTCAATAATTTCTGCTCACAAAACACGAAGAGTGAAGCAAGGTTACACATCAATCAATCAATTCTTCCACATTAAGGAAAACATTGCCTGATAGAAACTAAAGTATAGTTAACATAATACTACACAGAATATCCACCAAGACACATTTACCAAAGACTGTAAATGTGTCTTTTTCTAAACTTGTTTTGATAAGCAATAGCAGATCTAATTCTTATTATTTGGAAATTCAACAGTTTATTTTCTTACCTGAAAGATCTGTAGCCTATTACTGGCTTCCTGAGGTGGAATATCTGGAACCATAGGTCCTTCCTTTCAAACAAGCAGTTAAGAAAAATTGAATATTAATTCTCAAAGTGACTGAAGACCACTGTATATTTACAGGTCATCACAAATGCATATTTTTTTGGTAGTCAAAATTCAATCAAGTTATGTATCTTGGTAATGCAATACTTACAATGGTAAATCTAAGAAAAGATAACTTTTATGAAATTGAAAATTCTTTAGCTTAATTAAACTGAATAGGACTAGACTTTCATTTTTCATATTTTGTTCTTTTGCTGAAAACAAAATACATAATGAGTGGCCTGAGACTGTCTTTTTTAATGTTGTTGTGTGAGCAAAGATGCCACAACATGTACTACAATTTCTAAATTATTTTCTAAATTATTTTCTAAATTAAGATTTCATGGCAAGTTGTACCACCAGGGATTCTTTTTCTTACAGTGTTGTGTGCACTGCTATTTCTTCATACTGAAAAGTTTGACCTACAATGATGACTGCTTAGCAACCATGGCATCAAACACTCAGTAGCTCAGCAGAATAAAATTCTGGCACCCAACTGCTGCAAACCAAAAATATTGAAAAACTAAGTCTTACAGGTAACTACTAAATTAATTTACCGTTTCATATGACATTTCAAAGTTTGACACATCCTCCCGAAAAACTGCGACTGATTCTAGCAAATTACTCTTAAATTTGGGCTGAACTTGAACCAACTCATCTTGAACTCTGGTCTGATATACGAAAGATTAAAATCAAAGTTATTTCTTTAAAAAGCAGAAACAGAAATTTGAGTTATATATAAACCAAAATTATAAATAAAAAGTATTAAAATTCTGAACAAAAAATAATTATTTGAAGCTAAATATATTTTTTTTCTTTTTATGGTGCTATATGTTCAATTCTTGAGATGAAAAGCGGCAAGAAAACAAAAAACAACCAAACCCCATAACAAAATCTCCCCTCCATCTTTAAGTGAACATGTTCCATTACAAGGGGGTGGGGGAACAAAAGGACACAGAGAAGGGGGAAAAAAAGATCCTATTCCCTTCCTCCCTCCCTCCCTTCCTTTCTTCCCCCCCCCCCTCCCTCCCTCCCTTTTTTTTTCCTTCCTTCCTTCCTTCCTTCCTTCCTTCCTTCCAAAAAACCTCTCAAAACCCAAAGTGTTAGGCTCCTCCTCCTCATGGATGGCTCAGCCTTCTCTTTAACAACTTTCTTATTCTTTATTCAAAAGCTTGAGAGAAAGAACCGAGAGCTGCATGAAATGCAAATGTGAAATATACTCTTGAGCTCGAGTCCTTCCCCGAGTGATTAATCTGTGGGACACAATCTAACTTAATTGTTCCAACAAAATATCTACATATTTCCATCTAACCTTCTACACTACAGAAAATATTCAATAAACACTGAGCTTTTGAGGGATACAAAGGCTGTCCTAAGCAATAAAGGTAAATGTGCAATCACCACTTAGGGGTAAGGGCACGGGCAGAGTACGCACTTAAAAACAGGTAATCTAAGAGTAGTAATCTTCCTGATCAGACAAGAATGACACAAAAACTGGAAATGAAGGAGAGCAGAAAGAGCAGAGAGACATAACAAATTTCTCATTTTCTTGCAGGTTTTAAGCATATATCTAAAAGCTACAATACTATTTAAAGATTAAAGAATTCTATAAAAATAAAATTAGAAAATGAACATACTAATCAAAGGTATAGACACTAGTGTACAACTGAGGCCAAGAGTGAGAAGACAGAGTGGAGTGACAATTGGTCCCACACTTTCATTTATACTCTGAAAAAAGCACATGAAGACAAATGGAAAATAACATGGTTTTATACACTTACAGCTTTGGTCTGTAATTTGTTAAAAGAATATCTGAGTGTATCAACTCCTTCTGATTCCTCTTTTGTAACCTCAATTTCAAATGTATTTAAAATGGCATAGGCTTCCTAGATGAAAAAATGAAACCTTAGGAATGATGCATTTTAAGTTTATTTGCAGGAACATAAATCCAATTTGTAAGAAAAATTTCAAAGAAAATCTGTTCATGTAATTTAGACATAAAAGTATTTGTTTTTTTAAAATAAGGATGATGAATGAAGAACTAGGGAACAACAGCAAAATATATTTCTTTAAAGATGTCTTGGATTAAATACTAGAAAAAATATATAAACACAATAAATTGAATATTAAAAGCATATAAAATTTTATCATCTCAATGGTATTTTTATTCCACTGATCTACATTCCACCTGAATGTAGATTTTGATGAATTTTTCCTAACTCTGAATAATTATGCACACTAAACTACACATTTTTAAATGTTTTGCCATATCATCTATAAAATATTTATATGTTTGCCAAACTATCAAATGCCTGTATATGTATGTTACAGAATTAACCTTTCTTAGGCTTTGTTCTCATTTGCAATTTGTTTGCATATCTTCTGCTTTATTATCCTCCTCCTCTTACGCACATGGCATTATTTGAAAATAAAATAATTTTCATATTTTATAGTTTCCCAACAGGTAGGCAGAAGATTTGCTAATTAACACAAACAGCAGCGTGCATTATGTTAGCTGCTCCTTTGACCTACAACTCTGTCTTAGTTTTGGCTGGGATAGAGTTAATTTTCCTGCTAGCAGCTGGTACAGTGCTGTGTTTTGGATTTAGGATGAGAATAACGTTGATAACACACCGATGTTTTACTCGTTGCTAAGTAGTGCTTACACCGGTCAAGGACTTTACAGCTTCCCATGCTCTACTGACTGAGAAGGCTGGAGGGGCACAAGAAGCTGGGAGGGGGCACAGCCAGGACAGCTGACCCAAACTGGCCAAAGGGATATTCCATACCATGTGATGTCATGCTCAGTACATAAACTGGGGGAAAGCTGGCCAGGAGGGCCACTGCTCAGGGCAGGTGGTGAGCAACTGCATCATGCATCACTTGCTTTGTATATTCTTCTATTATTGTTACTATTATTATTATTTTCAATTATTAAACTGTTCTTATCTCAACCCACGACTTTTCTTACTTTTGCTCTTCCAATTCTCTCCCCCCATCCCACTTGGGGGGGGAAGGGTGAGCGAGTGGCTGTGTGGTGCTTAGTTGCCGCAAGCAGCTGTGTGGTGCTCAGTTGCCGGCTGAGGTTAAACCATGACAGACTTGTATTCTGTGCAGTTTGTGATGGTTGATAAACACAGTTGTTTGTTCCACGCAGATATCTACACTTATAATTCTCTCCCATTCAGCTTCTGAGAGAAGTGTAGACTGAACCACTGAGGTTGAAAGGGGCCTCTGGAGATCGCCTAGTCCAACCCTCCCTGCTCAGAGCAGGGTCACCTAAATCAGGTTGCCTAGGACCATGTCCAGTCAGGTTTTGAATATCTTCAAGGATGGAGAGTCCACAACCTCTCTGGGCAATCTGTTCCAGTGTTTGAGCACCCTCACAGTAAATTTTTCTCAGGTTTAAATGGAATTTACTGTATTTCAAGTCATGCCCATTGCCTCTTGTCCTGTTACTGGCTGCCACTGAGAAGAGTCTGGTCCCCTCTTCCTTCCTAGCACCCATCAGGTACTTATACACATTGATAAACTACCCCCTGCGCCTTGCTTCTCCAGAATAAATATTCTCAGCTCTCTCAGCCTCTCCTCATATGTCAGATTCTCCAATTGCTTAAGCAGCTTTTGCTGAACTCACTCCAGTATGTCCATGTCTCTCATATTGGGAAGCCCAGAATGGGACACAGCACTCCAGGTAAGTCTCATACTGCAGAGTAGAGGGGATCACCTCCCTCAACTGGCTGGCAACAGAACTCCTAATACAGCCCAGGATACCCTTAACCTTCTTCGCTGCAAGGGCACTTTGCTGGCTTACGTTCAACTCGATGTACACCAAGAAACTCAGTTCTTTTTCTGCAAAGCTACTTTCTACCCAGCCTGCACTGGTGCCTAGGGTTATTCATCTCCTGGAGCAGGACTTGACATCTCCCTTTGTTGAACTTCATGAGGTTCCTGTCAGCCCATTTCTCCATCCAGGTCCCTCTGAAAGGCAGCACAACCATCAGGTGTGTCAGCCACTCCTCCCAGTTTTGTGTCATCTGGAAACTTGCTGAGGGTCCACTCTGCTTGATCCACCAGGTACACAGTACTGGACCCAGTATGGACCGCTGGGGTACACCACTACTTACTGACCTCTAACTAGATTTGTGCCACTAATCACAATCCTTTGAGCCTGACAGTTTTCAATCCAACTGGCTGTCCACTCATCTAGTCCACACTTCATCAGTTTGTCAATGAGGATATTACGGGAGACAGTGTCAAAAGCCTTGCTACTGTCATGATAAACAATATCCACTAGTCTCCCCCTGTTCACCAGTCATCTCATCATAGAATGCTATCAAGTTGGTCAGGCGTGATTTTCCCTTGATAAATCCACATTGACTATGCTCGATCCCCTTCCTGTCCTACTTTTCCTTACATCAAGCCCTCTTTCCTTCAATCATGTTCTAGTAAGAAATATAATGCCTAATCACCCCATCAACAAAGTTCTAATTAAATCCACCAAGAAAACAAGACAAAACATTGAAATTACTGATCAGTTGCCATTGTTCTATATTTACTTCTTGATTTTGTCAGCTCCATATTCTTTCATTATTTAAGGAAAGCTCATGAAAAAAAATCTAAGAGTGACTTGTTAACATGACTAGCCCTACTGATATTAATGGAACTCATTACGTTAATATAGAAAGGGAGTAAATATTTGCAACATATATAGAATGTAAGTGGTTTGGGAAAGAACTTTTATCCTAATATTAATCTCAAAGTGCCAGAAGCAGGTATAAATAAACAAGCAATGTTAATACTTCATAATTTTGTATACCTTTTATTTATTTACAAATTTTGCATCATTTCCTACACATGTAAAACCTAGCAAATAGACAGCACTGAACTCAGTTCCTCTTCCTTGTTTTATTTAACATCTGAGTATGATTATCATGTCCATATCTTCAGCCTGAAGACTGTCAGACTAAGAAATAACATTTAGTAGATCTGAATAGTACTTTAAATATTGCAATTATTGTTCAGGTTCTTCCTTTACTTGTTTAACCTCTACCTCTTTTGGATCACAGAACTGGTTATAATTTGCCTTCAAATAGTCTCTGTACCATTCCTGGCTTACAAATCACCGTACAAACTGCTAAGACAAACCCCACTTTCTTAAAATAAAACTAGCAAAAGTGACGACAATCCACTGAAAGTCCTTTCCGGTATCATGTTAACAGAACAGTCTTCAAGAAAGAAAATGTTGCTATACAGCGATACAATTTCTTCTCCAAAAGGTGGATGAAAATGTAAAACAAATGTGTTTTATTAATCTGACTTTCAGAGTGTGATAATAAATACGAAGTACGTATAAAACTTAATGAGCTTCTTTTAACTTCTTTCTTACGGGGAAAGCTAAAAGAATGCTGCAAGTCTCTAATAGCATACAATGATGTGTGGCTCCATGAATATATTCGGGTTATATTTAAAAAGGGTTAGATGATCAAGATGTTTGTTTATAGATACAAAAAAGTTAGGAAGAGGATTAAGGTTAATGGAAAAGCACACAGCAAAAGGGACAGTATTTCTCCTTTCTCTTGTGCTCTCATCTGCTTATTTCTGCATGTTGTCTCCTAGATTGTATTTATATTATAATTTATTTGAGAGACAATGATTTTTTCTGTTCTGCATTCATACAGTATCTAGCAAAGTATCTAATACTGATTCATAATTTATAATAAAAATAACAATAAAAATATTACTTTTTTTCCCATCTTCAGCCTAGATCCTTCAGGACAGTAAATTGATTGTTTGGGTTCTCAGTTTATCTTATGACTCTTATTATATAATACCATTTTAATCAAGATAAAAAATTAAAAGGTATCTTACCTCAATAGGTCCCAGAGTCATATCCATTTGTATTTTATTATCACGTATGATAGATAAAGCTTCCATCGCAAATCTGACGTCATCTAAGTCACACAGAGGTCGAGACAATTTCTTTAAATATTCAGTTATGAACGACATCATGTCTGTCATTTTCTTTTTATATTCTTCATTTAAATAACGACAGAGGAGCATCTTCCAGGCTTTGGCTTCAATTGCTAAAGCTATTTTCAGTGGTCCTGAATTAAAGAAAAAATAAAAAATAAAAAAAATAAACTATTCAATCTACATCTTAATTTTTTTTCTGTAAAAAAACCCCACATCATCACATATGGTTCTTTAACAGCAATTAGGCAATCCAATTACTGCATTTTAAAAGTTTCAAAACAATTTCAACTATACTTAAATTTTATTTCTGTTTTATTTATATTATGATATCTGTAAAACAGTGGTAAGCTTATCTAACAACACATAAAAAAGATTAATAAAGAAGAAAAATGCTTACTTATTGATGTAGATTCTCAGAGAATACTTTTGATATATATTAACCAAATGCATAAAGACCAGTGATATTTAAATGGTTTATACCCGTTGAGGAAATGGTATCTTGGGATTTCAATATTGGGATTTGGAATACTTCACAACTAAAACTGTAAGGTGTCAGATCACATCATACGCAGTTAATATATAAACACAAACCAACACTGAAGAGACAGAAAAGCCAGTCATTGGCACTCTAACTTATTATCAGAATAAATTAGGATTTTTGTACTCTCGTGAAAGAAACCGAAAATACTAACAGCATACAACCCTTCTGCTCACAAAACAAGTTTTACAGCAGATATGGTTTCTTCTTTAATAATGTGGATATTAGCATTAAAAATCTGATTCCTGAAGGCCAAGGGTAATACAAGAAAAGTACTGTACCCTGGTCCAGAGGCTAGAATAAGTAAATGGTAATAAATCAATTCCCAAGCCTAAATTGAGTTCACGATAATGGGAAAGGGATACATTTATTACTTGTCCCTAGATAGCAACCATAATAACATGTGTCGCAGAAAGTAAAAAAAACCACCAAAACAGTGACACTGGTCCAGAGAAGACGTCAGCTACATAATAATCTGCGAGGTGAGAGGGATAAGTGCCATTGAAATCCTTGCTTCTTTGTCATAGCACAAACAGCTTAATTCTTCAACAAGCTGTCTGGAGAGAATACATTTTTCCACACCTGACTGTTCGTCAGGGTAACATGATCAATGAGTACCAAGTTGCCAGGACCACAGAAGGCCAGGTACTGAGGCACGTGCTGTATAGAACTGAGGAAACACATGCTGTGCGAGGGAACACATTCCAACAGCAGGTCTTGATGCCAGCTTCCCTATCTTTAAAGACACTAGAGGTGGACGGGAAAACACATGATATTCTGAGTGCTTCGAATGCTAAACATGGGAATGGCTACGCAGCCATGTCTCCTGCCAAAACAAACACTGAGAATGAAAAAGAAGCTAATGCAGCTATGTGCTAGTCTTGCACCAATACCAAAGAGGGTGATTTATGCTTCCGATGCTCTTTATAATCACTGGCTGAGCTGATGCCAGAGATGAGTGCCAGGGATGATCAAATCAGTGTCAATACACATCCATTAACTCTTCAGCAAGCCTCCATGATAACTTCACAGCCATGACAGAATTTAATTTCACCACTCCAAAGAGGAGAAGGCAAGGGGAATGGAGGGTTTTTTCAAGTCAGATTTCTCAGAAGGATCTGAGTGAGCCCTGGCTGGTCAGTCAGGGACGTGTCTTCAGCAATTTCTATTCATACTGTAAGCATTTATTTCAGAGAATAAACCAAATAACATGACCATTATATTCATTATCTTACTGTACATACAAAGATAAGAAAATGTCATACCTGTATGCAATTCAATTGGACCAAGAAGAATAATGGGTTTTAAATCTTCCATCTCTTGCTCAAACATAGCATAGTGAAGTATTTCTTCCTTAATTTCAGTCAGAGATGGACAGGTAGCCAAAAATTGCTGTGTGTAGTTTAAAATATCAATTGACAAATGTCCTTCTTCATATTTTTGGTAAAACAAGTCACAACAGTTATTCAGGAATTACTGAAAATGTGTACCAATATTATACCTGTTTTTAGCCTTCTGTGGCCTTGCTAACATAGTAAAATGCATGTGATGAGGTGTTCATGTATTCTCTGTCAGTAGTTCTTAAGCTTGTTGGGAAATTCCAATCAAATTTAACAGAGAAACAGATATCCAAGACATATTTAAGTGCCTACTGGTTTTGTGAAAACAGGTGACGAAACAGAGATCAAAAGATACAGGCCTGCACTTACAGAAAGACTACACCATTAGCCCAATTATGTGTGAAACAATCACAATACAACACATTTTCTAAGCAGTTCCATGAGCAGAACTCAATTGTAGAAAAGTTTTGTGATTCTGAAAAGCTGCATTTCAGAAATGTTACACAAGAGCTGTATTCAATTTGCCTACATTGCACGGGCAAGTAATAACTGCTGAAAGCTGTTTCCCAATTCTACTCTTTTGTCTGAGAGTACCCAGGCAGGCAGTGGAAGGGTTAGCACAATGCTAAAGAAAGAATGTAGAAACTAGGGCATGTGTGTATAAAACTTAACTACGTTATTATTGAGGCTTTCTCTGTAGCAGTATTCTTTTCTTCAGTTGTAACTAGATCAAATTAATAATACTTATTTGATTAGGCTTAAAATTTTAATTAGACTAACAGCAAATTCTCAGCTCTGCATATAAAGTGGGTTTTTTTAGCCCACAAACTGCACAACTTGCATTGTGACACCCAAAAGATACAAGTGCTCCTGTAGTAAAACAAGGTGATGCAATATTCACAGATCTATGTATATATAATATAGTCTACTAAATAGAAAATATAAGAATAGAAAAGTCAATTAAGCCAAGGTTAAATAAAGTAGATATAGAAGCCAACTTTCTTCTACTGAACCCCTAAATTCAAACTCTAAATTAAAACTCTATTGTAGAAGGATAGTGTGAAATATTCTGAAGCAGAAGTCCCAGAGACCTCCATTTCCTGGAAACTAACTTTTTATTGCTGTAGTAGATGCTAAATTTTTCTACCACGCTTGAGGATTCAACTTAAAGTTCAAACAACCAAGAATTGAATAAAAGAGTCTTCTTGGAATAGAGAATGAAGAAGTCACCTCCTACAATAACTACAGGAAGGGTGGTGAATAAAAATCTGTTTCAAACTCAAAATAAATGCTTTCCATAGAGATAAGTGCACAATTATCAGCACTGATGCTGTGGGAATTTCTATGCGTTATGGTATACATGTCAGACTGGGGTAGTTTCTTGTGGCCTAAAATCCAGAGTTCCACAAACAAAAATTAAAGCAATTAACAAATGAGGACCAGTTTATCAGTATCTAGAATGGCACAGAAGCAGGAAAAGCCAAACCCCAACACAAAAGTTAGGTAGCATGCTATTACTTCTGCTTAGGAAATATACTACTATTACTACTGAAAGACAAAATAAGAATTTCAGCTGTTAATGTGTTTTCTACATCTTTTTCCTTGATTTTTTTTTCTCAGTGTTTTCTGATTTCAAAAGATAAAATTAATGAAGAACAGTCCTTTAGGTGATCATCATTAAACTCACCTGAATTTTGTCATCTCTATCTTCTGTCCACAGCACCTTATATTTCTGAAAGTCCTGCAGAACTTCACTAGCTACTTCTCTTATAGAATTCACAGAAGAAGAGAGGAGCACAACTAATTTAGAAATATCTTCATGTTCTGCAACACCCGAGTAAAAATTTCTTAGCTTTCTGGCAAGCACAACGTCTTCAACTGCTTCTGTGAAATAAAATTATATATAAATGAATGAACCATTAAAAGTCTGGTTAGAGTTCTCTTTTAAACTTATGCATGCCAAGATAAGCAATGATGCTGTTCAGTAAGTCTGAATATCCTTCTTCAAATGTCTTTCTGACTGCTTAATACGAAAGTACCAAGTGCTAGTTCAGGCCAGGCTCTATACAGCTAGAGCAAATTCAACCTAGAGTGAATGTTTCCAAATTGAAAGAAAATAGTCTTCTTAATTCACAAATTTCAATTTTTCGACTGTAATTTAAATGTAACTAGAACACGACAAGGCCTCATAAACATTCTGTGTCATTTTATATTTTTTAAAATTCATATAATTAAAGTTTTTTAATTGTATAAACCTCTTAAAACAGTGTAAGTTTCTTGAACTCAAACATGCTTCAAATAAATAACTTCTTGTTATTCTATTTAGTGGTTTCAAAAAAGATGCTAAACTTTGCCAAGTCAGATATTAATGAGCACACAAATAAAGTTTGTCATGCTTTGGAGCTGCACATGTCTTACAAACTGCTAATATCAAAGTCTTTTGAGTCTTGTCTGAAAGAGCTTAGAACTGAATGAAGAAGAACAAAAAGAAAAAAGGAAAAAGAAAAAAAGAAAGAAAAAAGAAGAAGAAAGAAGAAAAAAGAAAAAGAAAAAGAAAAAAGAAAACAAAAAAGAAAAAAGAAAAAAGGAAAAAGAAAAAAGAAAACAGAAAAAAAGAAAAAAGAAAAAAGAAAAAAAAAAAGAGAAAGGACAATCTAGAGATTTTCCTAAATCTCTTGCCTCCAAATATGCTTTCAAAGGCAATTTAGACAATGGTAGCTGCTGCTCCAGTTACACTGTTGATGTTGAAACAGGAGCCCTGTCTCATTTAAGAACTACAAGTAAGCTCAAATAGAAGGAAAATAAAATGCAATTTATCATGTCCCTCCTTCATCTTTGATGAATTGCTGAGACAATTGGAGTCAATATAGACACTGAGATCCCTGAGATCTAATGCACCCCTTCTGTCATAACAATGCCTGAGCATTTTGAAGCAGATTTAAGAGAATGGAGAAGAAAAATCCACTCTTCCCACCACACACATTGTTTCATGGCAGGGATTTAATGCAACTCCAAGTTCTCTTTTAGGGTGAAGACCTTTTCAGGGATCTGGTCACTGGAAACAAAGTCTCAGATTGATCCATCCTTGCTGGTGTACTCCATAGATCTCATTGGCCAAACATTAACTTATGCCCCCAGGTGTTGCTGATGAGTAGTTTAAAGGTGATGAAAATGGTTACTTGCTGATGTTGTATTTTGGTACATCAGAGGAAAAGGCTATGACTGCCTGATGAGGATAGTCTCCTGCCACCCTGCTTGAAGCCCATTAAAGAGGTTAAAATCATACAAAAGCACATTAGTAGAAGAATAAGTCCCAGCTCTGGACTACCAAAGAGAAAAACTTTCCAAGATGTTAAAGAATTTCCAAAAGAATCACAACAAAGATACAGCTGTATTGCAGATCACTGGCTCAGCCAAGCAGCGAAGAGAACCAGATGGTAAAAATATATTTAGGCTTTTGTGGATGTTTGCAAAGCATATGGAGAGATGTTTACAAACAACATTATGGAAAAAAGTATCTGACCAAAATGGATGCAGACCTATCTACAGTATGAATATTCACATGAACAAACACTTGAAGTGTTTTATAATCCATTCTAGGAATACAGCCAATTTTACTGAAATCTATTAAACTAGTTCTTGTACTATCTCATTATTCCAATGAGAGCTAGTCTACAATCACTGTTTATGGTTTCAACTAAATCATTATGGCTACATTCCATAGTAATTAGGTAAAAAGATAAATTAACAAGCTTACTTTGCCTCAAATTAAATAGGAGATTCAGAATCTAGCAATTTTTCTAAGATTTTTTTTGCTTATTGTTTCTCAGAGTTCTAACACCTACATAAGCCTGAAAAGCTATTTCTGAAAAATACAGCTAATTAAATCAAAATAAGCCCAACAAATTAATTCAAGATAAGCCACAGTCGGCCTCTCTGAAGAAAAGTGAGCTTATTCACAAATATTTATAGATAACATTTTTATTAAAGTAAAAAGTTGAAATAAGTAAAAAAAAAAACAACCACTACTTACTTTCCCCTTTTTTGGCTATTTTTCCTGGTGATCCAAAGCCTGCTGAAGATACTTGCTGTGTGCCTGATTCTGCTCTTAAACTAGATTTTTGCAAATGTCTCTGTCCCCACTGAGCAACTCCACGACTTACTTCCAATATTAACTGAATCATGCGATTGATGGCTTGCTGTATATCGTCTAAACTAGGAACCATTACCTATTTAAAACAGTTGAAATATTGTTGAAATAAATGCAACTGATTGTAATTTTCTAAGACCTCAGTTTTACTCCACTGAGTGAATTGCAGAACTTGCCCCAGAAGAGAAGCTGGAAAATGTAACTCTAAGAGTTTGTTGGGCTCAGAATTGCCTCTAAAGAAATGAAACATACTGTACTGACCTACTATCTATTTGTACAATCATACTGTGGGCAAAATGACAAGCAAGTGTAAAAGTAGATAGATTTACTGGGTTTTTTACAATTATTTTTACAATTCCTACAACATTTTAAACGCCATTTTTATAATGATTTTTTATAGTGTGTGGAAATACATTACAAGCCTTGTTTCCTGCATTCTAGAATCATAAAGCATTAAAAATTGCAGGCCAAGATCCTCCTCTCTGTTGCTCTTAACCACTGGATCCTAAATTCTGTGAGAGAGAATTGTAAGAGGGATGGTCATAAAAATATGTATAGACAGCCCATTTTAAAGATTTACAGCTATATAAGCTCTCCTTCTAAATGCTTATCTATACATACATTCACACCATGGGTAATTCCAGGCAAACAAAACTACCTGGATCAAAGCGTCAAAGGTCCTAGTTGAATAAATACTGAATGTTTTTCTAATCCCAAAGGTAGTATTACCTCAAAAGCTTTTGCAAGAGCACAGTGTTTAGTAAATTCATGGAACTCCATGCAGTAGCCCTGGAGATCTCAACTTGTATATTTGGCAAGGATTTTGTATCATAATTCTGAGAGCAATCTAATACCCAAGTCAGAAGAGGAAGAGAACTCATATTCAACTACCAGAGTACTGATAAAAAGAACTGGAAGGAAAATGAGGATTCTTGATCTGAATCCAGGACAACTAGCAAACAGAATAGAGTCAAAACACAGGCTCTGGTCTGCCATCACCCACACTGTACAAATGCTAGTTTGCTCCCTTAGCTTAGTTTGGGATGGTGCAAAAAAGCACTCTCCCAGAAAAAATTCAGGCACAGTTTGGCACATAAAACATGACAAGGGCTGTTCCTAACACACAGTTTGAATGCAAACTCCTGGATTCAGGAAGAAAAGCATTTACTACTGTGGATACACAACACTTTTTCAGGTCAGCTCACTTTGAGGTCAAAGAACAGCCTCTAGTCTGTTTTATTTAGTAGTACACAAACAGCCGTAAAGTCCTGAACCCAAAACTTTTTGAACTGTATTGGCAGCAATAATGTTAATTGTGACTTTGTCCTGTCCTTGTTTGAAAATAATTCTATGTACAATAAGGTGGAGTAAAGGTACGTATCAGTTTCTCCAAAATACTGAGCAGGAGGAAGAACCTACCTGAGAGTGATCCAGGAAAGAATAGAAAAACAGCATTTCTTGTTAAACTTCAGAAGGAAGATCACACTTGGGATACGCTCAATCCTCAAATACAGTCCTTGGAACATCAGCTTATAGCTTTCATGTGTAAGCCATTATTTTAAAAGGATGAAATCATCCACAGGAGTGCTCAGAACTGGGATATAAACTGCTTAAAAGTGACTCTGATGTTTTAGAAATCAATTTCACAGATTGAGCAGTTGTATGCATAAAAGCAAAGATCTTGCAAAATCCTATTAGCATTAGCAAAGTGGTATTTTACCCAGCATTACTTGATTACTGCCCTGGATCAGCCAAGCATTTCAGAGGACTTGAAGGAAAGATAGATGCACTTCCCTTTGCAGTGGGTGGAGCTTGGGAGCTTATACAAGTATCAACAAGGTAAAAATTCTACACTTTGACAGACCTTATATATCACGTGTACACACACAGTGTGAATATACAACAGAATGCCAATATGAACACGGGTTCAATGTCAAAGGAATATCACCCTAGAACAGAACCTTTCTTTCATTATAATTTCATAAATATAAAACTTTTAATCTTTATAGGACAATTGGATAATATTGTTACCTTCTCATATATAAAATAAAATACCATACATATTGCTGACACAGAGTTATCTTACTCTACAAAACGAAAACAAATGCATTTATTAGTTCTTTGCAATCAAGCTGCCTTTTTGTTCTCTGCACACAGAAATCTATAGCTCTTTTCTTGGTTTTGAGTCTTCTCATTTTTGTTCAGTGTTCCTCCTTCTGGTCATCCTACTTCCTATTGAGATGACTAAAGCTGAACTGAGCAAAGAAAATGTTCATTATTTTTCTTCAACAAAGGATATAAATTACAGAAGGAACAAAACAGTTAAAATAAAAACCAAACATGAAAAATCTATTCCAGCAATGCAACTGCTACACGTGAAGGAGAACTGTAATCATTCTCCAAAGAACACTGATGAACAGATTGCAATATAATTGCTGAAACACACAAGAACAATAAAAGGCCAGGTTCTGTAAGTACCACTAAGGGAGAAACCAGGAACACTGGGACTGTGAACACATTTCATCAGTGCTCTCAGCACACTGAAAGGCCTGAGCAACTATTCTCCGTTGGAATGGATGCTGGTTCAACAGAGGTGTGCCCACATCCTGCACTTGGGCAAATGCAGAGATAACTATGAGACAGTGTATTTTACTTTACCTATATACACATAACTTACCACATTGGGAATAGCAAGGTGTACTTCCGCTTTTAGAAAAGAAGCTACCTCTTCAGATTTGCTTGGACGAACAGCAAACTTTGTTCTCCCAAATGCAGTTTTGCTGAAAATAATTTTGAAACATCATAAATACTTCACCATGAAACCCTCTCAAATTATCTTAGAAATATAGTTCTGAGCTACTTTTTCTGGGCAAACCCTCATGGAGAATTTTCTCATTAAGTTATTATCTACTTGACAAAACTTACAGAAGCTTCTTGTTTAAAGGGCAAAGATAATCACCAGAGCTCCATCATTCAGACAAAGGTTACTTTGGATCTAGTCATTGCTTTCAGAATTTTTTATCCAGAATATTTTCTGATTCTGGATTTTAATCTCTCAATTTAAGAATGATGGAACTCTGCCAGTGCTTTGAGTAGGGCATAAAAAGGTTTTACTGACCATTTCGTGCAAAAACCTATCAAGAGTAAAAGTTGCTTCATTACATTTTAGATAAATATTCAACAGAACAGGAAAAAAAAGTTTCAAAGATGACAAGCTAGTGCAAAATGATAAATACATGACCTAAACCCACTCAAAACTAAAACTAAAAGCAGAGTGCAAAGTACAATTTCTAAATGCATACACTATAACTAACAACATAAAGAATTAAAGCATAAAAGCGAAGTGTGGGCCCAAAGCACCACTGCAACTAAAAGTGAATGCTCTCCAGGTTTTGCTTGAGCTAAAAGGGCCAAGAGGTCTGGAACTGTTTGATGAATGATACATATGCATGTATCGTTACACGTGTGAATGTATATTTGTATTATTAACACAGAAATAACTTTGTTCTGATAACACTATTGAAGGAATCTTTCATTTACAACTTACTTTGAAACAAATATCCTTTTTTTAAGACTATCCAAAGACAGTCGGGTGGCTTTCTGGAGGCTGTCTAGCAGCTGGTGACTGAAATAGGCAACAACTTCTTTACATTTCTGTGATAAATAAAATGTACACTATTTAGTATTGTATTCAGACAGGAACCTGAAGATAATTTCAAAAGGTTTTAAGTCAAACATATTAGTTCTTGTCTGAAGGAATTTACACTGTAAGCTACATGAGAAACACAAGGGGAGAAGTTGGGGGGAAAATAGCTTGTAAGTCAGCAAATAAGTAAAAGCTGCATGAAAAAGAGAACATAGCGTCTGAGGAAATTCAATTTGTCTTATTCAGAGACAGAATACTGACATCTGGCTGAAGTCTCATACTCCTTCAGAAAAGCTCTCCATATTAAAAAAAAACCTACCGTGAATTATCCAAGAATATTGGTGCATATGTACCCTTTTCAACTAAGAGACAAATACAGTAAAATCTGACCATACTGGATTAAGAAGAACATAAAATTACAGCAACATGTAACGATCACTAGCACAAAACAACAGAATGCAACCTTGTAACATTATTGCATTTGTGCTTGCAAGTTTGTGAGTCTCTCTTCTCTACTTCCACCTCCTTTCTCTGCTGAACATGAAGAGATTGTATTCTTCAAGGAAGAGGTACAAAGGTGATGTTTCTTGGTAAAGTTGGAAGAGGAGGATAGAAAGGATGAATGTTTCTGCCCACCCAAGAAGGAAAGCCTGTGTTACAGCTTAGGCACGATATTCTCTCCAAACTTTTACACTTACCACTCACATATCAAGAATTTGTTTAATAAAGGTGATAACTGGAATAACATGGAATATACTTTTGAAAGCTAAAATCCATCTTAAACTCGCTTTGTAGGGAAGCTATTTCATCATTTTTACATGGCATTTGATATCGTCTATGTGATGTCTTTCTGTAACGCAGATAACCAGCTACCAAAACTCAAGATACTGTTTACTAATCTGATCAGTCTGAAAAAAATTCCCTTCTTATCACAAAATACCTTTTTAAACTCATCTTCTTTATCATTTCCCTTGCTATTATCACCACGAAGAGCTGCAGAAGTATTCTTTTCTCTCTCCTCTTCATTATTTCCAAACACTATATGTTTTTCTCTTACTGTAAATTTAAAAAGAATATGTATTTTTTGTTAAATGAACATTGTGTTCTGCTTTGAAGCATGCTGTCCCCCCTCTTTACAGGCAAAATAATATTGCTTTTTATTTTAGTAGTACCTGGATCAGCTAACTGGTTTTATTTCACACCATTTTTTTCACACCAGGAATCTGGTTAAGAGCCCAGCCTATAAGCCACAGCCTAACAAACACCATGCACTAAAAATATATTATTAAGGATAGGTAGGCAGACATGGATATTTCAGCTGGAAATGGCAAAAAAAAAAAAAATCAATATAAACAATTTAACAAAATACAGAGAAGTATCTTTTCATCAGGTTTTTCTGGTTGCATCGTATTGAGCTACCTGGAATATTGACCCTGACCATGCCTCTATACCTGGAGGAAACTGAACCCAGAAGGAAAAAATCTTGTGTAAGAAAAGGAGCTCCATTACTGACTAAGCCTCAAAATACATTTTTCCTTAAAACATTTTCTTCCAGCTATAAACTATTTCCCCTATAATGGTACAGAGCCTCCTAAAAATCTTTGTAACACACCCCAGAGCAGTGGGAACCAGCCCCAGAGCAGTGGGAACCAGCCATATTGATCAGCTGTGAGCCTCGTACATTAGCAGTTGAATGTCAATTGACTGTACTAATTTAAACTGACCCGCCTTTACTAGCACTGGTATTTGAGATACAATTCTACTGTGGCAGAAAAGTCACAAAGAGAGGACAGTAACCAAATACGTGACATAGCTGAGAAGAGAGGAACACTGTATTTCACTTATGGAGGGAAAAAAAAAGTTATAATGAGTGACTAAGAAAAATGGAACTATAACATTCTTCCTCTAGAGCAAATACCTTGGTAATCTAAACAGAAGGACAGAGTTTAATTCTAGAAACTCCACCAATACTGAATTACTTCCCTATTTCATAGGCTAGTGGTTTAGTTTAACAGTGGTAAATAAAGGCAGAACTGTGACACAGATGAAACTGTAGTGGGAGGGAGAAGTCTGAAGAAAATTAGCTAAAACAATGCTGTTTTGATACATTCTAGTTAAATCTACAGGGACAGAAATTTTTATTTAAATATTTAAATATTCAACATCATCTACCTGGCAATACATGTTTTTCTGAGGTTTTCTTAGAATATTTAATTTCGTAATTCTTTTCAAATACAGATATTAGTTCTTGAACAGCATCTTCAATGTGCATGCTTTTGTGGTTCAATAACTCAGCACATTCTTTAGTGTAAGTCTGTTAAATAAAAACATCAATGAATTATCTTAGTATCACTGATTATCTTATTACTGTTCCTCTTCATGCAGAGCCAAAACATTTCCCTGAATATTGCATTCTTCAGACTGAGACTATTTCAATGAAACAGCAACATTTTTAAAAGAAAACTGAGAAACCAAACCCAAAATCTTTATTCAAAATTATAAAAAACTTCTGTTATATTACCACTATATTTTTGATATTTTTAATATAGTGGTAATTATTTTTAAATTTCCATTTTTGAAATGCAATGGTATTTTAAAGGGCCAGAAGAAAACCCTGAATATTGAAGGGAGGTCACAGACTGAATCTGAAATTACCTAAATACTCTTTCAACTGTCCTTAACAATTTTATTTACTTGCACTAATTAACTAACTAATTACATTTTTAGCCTCATTTGGAATCAAGAAAACTTTCAAATTCTCAAATATACTTGTTGGAAAGTATTTTTTGCCTTGTCCTTTAAAAAAAACAGTTTGGAAAAAAATAAGGAAAAAAAAAAAAGGCTGCATATGTCCAAGTATCTTCATACAAAAAAATCTCATCTAATTATGAAGCAGTTAAATAAAAATTATCTGTGAAATACTACAGCTTAAGTATCTCAAATACCTAAGAACCAATTTATCTTCATATAAAATATTTTAACCAAAACATTTTAATTAAAAAAAAAAATCTGTATTTCTACAGTAAGAAGAATTCTTTTTTAGTTTTATATTAATTTACTAAGGCATTGTTTCTAACATGCTCAAGAATTCAAGTTCGAAGATGTAAAGTGGCACACACCTCATTGCAGGTCAACATATTCTCTACTTTGATAGGACCATCTACTGGTAAGACAATTAAAAGAGTATGTGATATTTCTTTTAATATTAAATCAATCCGCACTTCACTTAAATCATTAACCTAAAAAGAGAAAATCGTATTAATACTGTACATTTATATTTAAAGCATAATATATTCTCTTTTAGAGAGTTCTAACAGATATACAATGTTTTGCAGAAAAATAAAAATTGTATATCTGTACCCAGTTAATGCAAGAATCTTACATAGTAGAAAACCCTCTAAGAAAGTGAATCATAACAGAAAAAAACCCTGGGGTAAAAGCTCCAACAAAAAAGACCGCAAGATGAGAGAAGCAGAGAAAAAAGGAAGCACAGCAACACCTCATGAGTTATGATGACTTAGGGTATATTTGCAATGGCTAAATATAGTCTGCTTTTACTCTGAATTATCCTCTTTCTGTATTATCTACAGAGGGATTTTAGGGAGACAAGTACCCTACAAAAAAATTTAGCCTTTCTTAACATGTTCCATTGCAGATGTCCTGGTTTCGGTAATCTGGAATATGAGCAATGAAAGAATAGATGCAAGTCGGGAAATTATACAGTTACTATTGCCACAGAAAACAAGAATTCAATTGCTAAAAGAGTATGTATGTAAATCCTGCACAGTGTGATAACACAATTCTAAAAAGATTAGTAGTGTGCGCAATTTCATTTCAGGCAGTCCTTTAAAAAACAATTTTGTAATTCTTAAGTATCTGCTGGTTCCATGTTGGGAAACTGAGACATAGGAATCCTTGAGAATGTGAAATCTTTAGAGGAATTTGGTGTTTCCACCTATTTCTTCACAGATTTCTGGTTATCAGCACCATATCTTAAAATTCACTGTATAAGTGAAATTAATTCACAGAGAGTATAAGCCAAAACTACCTCTGCACCATAACAGTAATGATCCAATTTTTCAATGAACTTCTCTTGACAGCTCAAAGTGCTGTCGAGTCTTGGAGACTAGATGAATGAGTGACAATGGAAAGAATTATCTCCTATGCCCCGAGAACCTCATCAGAAAGTGGTCCCAAGACTGAGAGTAGCTTCTTTAAACTTGTTTTTCTTCTGTCCTGAAAGTTTAGGAATCGGTGTAAAAGAAGAGAACTCCTGCTCCATTATGTAATCCATGCTAGACTCCTGAAGAATCCTTGTTGTTTTAACAGAAGTATTAGGCAGACAGGCAGTAGTAGTAAGTCAGACCCCAGATCATTCCAGTTATGCAGGATACACTGCCGCAAGATTAAATAAAACAGAGTAACAAAACAAGATACGCTAATATAAGATGATAAGATTCTTGTTCATGACCTTACTGGCCACGATTCTAGTTGCAAGGCAAGGGGGGGGCACTGCTGTATCTTGCTTGACAGTTTAGTCTTCAGTCCTTCTTTTACTCAACATAGCTTTTCACTGGGTTTTTGATTCTAAATTACAGCATTGTTAGAATTCAGTCAACTGTAGTGAAGTGGCTTTGTCATGGCAGAATCCAAATAAAACCGACTTCTGTCCAATTTTTAATTTTTTATCTGAAATATTCTGCGTCTGTGATATCCCATCTTGTTTGTCACAATATCACTCATGCTTCTGTTTTACATCACTTTTTCCCTATTTGTTTACAATATCCCCTTCACAGTAATCAAGGGTCTAACCAAGTTTACATCTTTTTGTATTGATATTGGAGGGGTAAGAAAGTCAGAAATGTACACAACCTACATATTTAAGGAAAATAGAGTGTATCTACAAAAGACATGGTTATTTCAGATATACTCAGGTTCAGAGAACTGTTAATTTCTTACACAGCCAATCTTTTTTTCAGTTTTGAGTTTCAGCAGCAAACAGAGCGCTTGATCATAACTACGTTTTTCTGCCATACAGAAACAGAAGTGGATACACCCATCAGTGACTAACAATATCCTACCACAAGAGACACAATTTATGATATTGGTAGGAGAGATCATAGCAATACAGTTCAACCGTCAAGCCAGAAGGATGATCTGACTATCAAGGTAAAGTCTTGAGAAGAAAAAGAACCAATACAGGTCCTCAAGCATGTTAATGGAATCAAAAGAATTCAGAAATTATGTGGCAAACACTAAGAGGAAAAAAGCACAGACTCAGTCAGCACGCAGAGAACTGTGAGGGAAAAGCATGCTCCCCTTCATTATTTTATGGCCTGCACAAACAGGAGGCAGTTTCACACCATGCCTGCTATGAATACAGTTAATGCTAAAAAGTTCTCCACTGGACACTGTTTACATGGAGGTATCTTGTGTGCAACTGCATTCATGGACAAGCACTCAAAGAGAAGCACAGGTTGACTCCAAAAATCAGAATGATAGTCACAGAATCTGAGGACAAGTGGAAATACATTCTACTGCAAGAATGGAAGCAAAGGTCAAATATTTGAAGGTAATAATGGGAGAGAATCATTGAGTATATCATTCTTCAAAAAAACAACATACATTAATAAGCAAACAAAATTTCTATGTATTTCAAGTGGTAAGAAAATAAGTACAGATTAATTTCCAATATGAAGAGCAGCATACTGGAAATAATTTCTCTAAACTGTGATTTCATTTATATAGTGATCAAATGCATACCTTTTTCAAAAACTGTTTAAATATATTCAGAACTTGATCAGCTTCTTGAAAGAAACTTCCCAGTGTCACAGATGACCAAGTCAACATGGTAAGTCCTTGCCTCAACACAGCTTCCATCTAAGCATAAAAATATAATTTCATAGATTAAAAAAAAAAAACATAATTTAAAACAAATGCCATTTTTATTAGAATCACTAATGTCACTGATGAAAGAAAGAGTTGTGTTTAAGTTTTGCAAGGAAGGTTACAAGTTTTCAAGGAAAACATCAAATAAATTTATGTGATACTGGGGAAGGAGGAGGGTAGTACATACTATAGCCTCTGTCCACAACTGTCAAGTACATGCTCAGCAAAGATCTTCCCCTTCCTGTTTTCCTGGATAGTGTCTTTTAGTAGTTCCCACTACTTCCTAAAATTAAAATCAAGTCCACTATTGATCTTACAATTTATCCTTTAATATATATCTTGACCACCCTTAACAGCATAATTACTTGTCTTTCAACCTCATGTATCTATCTAACGACATTTTTCATTCGTCCCTTTTTGAATCACACTGATCCTCTCCAAATTTTGTTATAGCCTCGATGCTAATTTTAAAAATCCTCTCTTCCCTACTATTTCCCTTCCTGAATTCTTGGTTCTCCATGGTCTGTTTCATCTGGATTTGTCCCCACCAAGATGTTCAGCATGTAGCTGAAATCAGCTCATTTCCCTGTCACTGTATGATCTACACCAAGGTCCTTCCTTCAGTTGCAGATCCTGCACCTTCGAAGGAGATGGGACTCTGAGGAAAAGGAAATCTTATACTACCACCAGGCTAGGGAAATCAACCTTTCCAGACTCTCTCACAGAGCTCCCCTTAAATTTTTGCCTAGCACTCCAAAACTTCTCACTGATTTCCCAGTATACAGACACCACAATTTTAAATTTTGCCATTCCCATCATTCTTGAAGTGACAGAAACTTAATTTTGCTTAATTGCTGAGAAACTTTGAACAGATTCCACTCATATTTAATTTTAAATAGCCACCTATCTTATCTGCTCTTTCATCTTACATTTACCAAGTCACTGCCTGGACTTCACCCACTCTCTTCATCCTAATGCTTTTTTTTGCTATGTCTATATCACAGATAAAACAATGAGTTCAGCTCAAATAGACACACAGCTATTTGCAAATACAGCCATTATTATCACCTTAATACATATGTTTTTGGGGAATATATTTAACTCCACAATGCTGGGATGATACTGTTACTGGTAACCAACATAGCCAATCTAGAAACAGTTTAAGGCTCTACATGGTTGTTGTCAAATTATGGCACCAATGTAGCCATAGGGTGGATTTGCTCATTCCATCTTTGGATTTGTGCTTTCCTCTCTTCTTCCTATACACCAAAGACTTCTCTCCCTTCTTCAAAAAACATTTCCATCTTCTGTTTGTACAATACCCATCCCTCTCTTTTGCCAGTTGTTTCCTCTAAAATACAGAGGTTTATGATTCCCTCTACGATATAATCACATTTACAGTAGTATAACTGAAGTGAAGACTACCATCACTTTATCTCTTTGTCTTTTATTATTTAACTCTTAAGAGCAAGGACAAGTTTTTTGTTTCTCACACTTCGGCACATGCCAACTATGTAGTTACACAAACTTATGCGAACTCTGCAACCTTCTGATATTATTTACAATCAAAAAGGGAAGAGTTACTTAGAACAACCACAGATGTACACTTGCAAGTGTCTGGTAAAACAAAATGGCTTGTAGGATAGACATTCTGCATCTCCAATAAAACTGTCCCTTTAGTGTAGTATATAACCTTTCTACATCACTGAAGAGACTGACTCAATTCACAAGGCTAATAATTCTCTCCAAGCAAAGACAAGGATCATGACATTTAGTATTTCAGCTAAATGAAAAGCACAACTTCCCATTAAAACCTCTAAAACTGAAATAAGTGATAATTTACTTCTATGTCAAAGCCAGAGATTTGTGTAGATAAATAGACCCACAAAGTCCATATTCTTTGTTCTACTGGGTTTACACCTCATAGGCACCAAGATTATCCTACTGTAATACAGATTATTTGAGCACTGTATGAGGGATGCAAAGAGCAAATTTTTGGTCTTAAAGGTTTTAGTAAAATTCATAAAGTTCACAACATGCAGATCTATCTACGTATTTTAAAATTATAAACTATTATTAAGTTATTCTAACTTCTTCTGAAGTATACTGAAGTGCATTTAGCAAGACCAACCTTTTTCATTTTTGGTGCCATTAGATTTACAAAAATCATTGGTGTTTCTTGACACAAATCTTCATAACATTGGAGAAGACCCTGTTAATTATTAGAAAGGGTAGTATCAAGAAGAATATTTTAAATGCTTTCTTTACTGAAGCAAACAGCCTGTTATACAATCAAATCACCAGAAAAAATATGGAAAGCAGTACAAGACTACATTTGAAAACAAGTGTAGAATTTTACACAGACTTTACATACCCACGTACATAATTTCTGGAATGTAATGAATCCGGATCATGCCACACAAGGAAGAACGAAAGCAGCCTTCATGCAACACATTCCCAGTCTTTAGGCAGAAAGCCAAAGTATGATCTTTCTCTAGAGCTAAAGACAGCTTGAGCTTTAGTGACTGTAACTTGCAATGCCCTCTTGGAACTGAGTATCATATGCTGTAGATACTTAAAGTCACATACAAACTCAGTTTTAAGGTTTCTTCGTCTTACGCCTTACACACACACACAAATCTTGTATGGTACACCTCATGCCCAAGATATAAGCTTCTCTAAATACTACAACAATAGCAAAGACTACAACAAGTATGAGAAATCTGACTTCTCTGGCATGTAACCTGCAAAATTCTTGATGTTTTTGTGGCTCGCCATATCTTCCAATCCAGAATTCCAATCTTTGCTTCTCAAAAGCTCTGTAAAACCGCATTTTACTGATTTTCAGAGAGTGAACATATTTTGGATAGCTCTAATTATTTCATCACAAGAAAATATTTAACATGCCACAGGGTATGAGAAATATATATGCTTATCTTTAAGTATATACTAGCCCACACAGCAGTTAGTAGAGGTTTTTCAAATGAAATCCTCTATGTCCACCTGTGCATTCCACAAATTTACCTTAAACTACCTCATACCCAGCTTTAATCTTTATTTAACCATAGAAAAATTCCTATGGTTAATCAGATGTTCTTTTTTATTTTTTAAACAGCAATCATGATAATTTTTACGTTTACCTCTAAACGCAACTTGTTTGACTTCAGGTTATTTTCTATTTTTACTATCTTTTTTGCTTGCTCCGGTACTTCCAGACCCAACTTGATCATACATTTGGTCTCTCGGACAATCTCTGTAATTTGGGGATCAAAATTAACCAGGAACTTCCCAGTTTTAGGATGACGTGCAAATATTGTTGCTTGTAAGGCTGTAAAGACATTTTTATATCAGTTTCCAAGACAAACAATTGGTTCTGTTATATAAATTATTATGGAACACAGATTTCTCATATTACTATCTAGTGATTAAATATGTATGGTTATTTGTGAAATAGCGTCACGTTTTCAGTTAAAGAAAATATACAACTGACTTTCACCATATTAGCTTTCTGCCATATATAACCTTTCTCTTCGTAAGCTAAACAAGCATCAGATCCAGTCTTATTTGTGGCATATTTTTTCTTAGCTCAAGTTAGAAAATTATGAAATTCATTTTCTAAGGACCTGGAAACACAACACTTTTATGAGATGCTCAGTATCTTACAGGAATTTGTTAATCCAGAGGATGAATGCTTACATATGGATATTGCAAAAATCCAAAACAAAATAAAAGCCCAAACAGCAACATAAAAACCTCTGTTCACTGTGTAATGAAAAGATGTTATTCTTATATATCTACTCCTAGTTTTGAAGCCCACAGAGTGTCTACAATTTACAGGAAAAATCTACTCAAAAATATATATTTTTTTAAACTTTGACTCTCATTTAATCTCAAAATGATAAACCTTGATTATCAAACATTTTTTTCTAGGCATAAAGTAATACTTGTCCTGAGAGGGACTGGGATAATACAACTGTATAAATTATTATAGTGGAAAGAAAACAGGAAGAATTATTAAATGCTATACATAAAGAATTTGAATGCAAAAATGAACAACTGTGTGCCTTAAATTTGTTTCACTACCGTTTCCAGTCATCTGTCAAACAGTGTACCAGATCTGCAGTCCTCTGCATCAAAACCGAGTTTCAAGGTCAGTAAGGGACAAAGATCTGTATTATTGGGCCTACTTATTGGATCATGATTAATTTGCACATTTTAAGGGTAAATGACGCTTAAAAAAAATTATCTGATTTGATTTGTGTTAACTTAGCATTCAATAACATTTTTTAAAAAAACGCCAGTTACTTATTTAATTACTTACAATATTGTAATTGTGAAATTTCCTTCATCCACGCATTATGATAGACTACCTCGAATTCCACCAATACATAGGCAATGCTATTGTATAACCGAACAACTGCTTTACCTTCTGGAGTTGCCAAGATATTTGACTTTTTCTATTAAAACACAGTACATTCAAATTAAAACCTTATCAAAAGAAAACCATACTATTTGGGTTTTTCTCAGTTTAACTGTTGACTATATATTACATAAGTTAATATTACAAATTATACTTACAGAGTTCTTAAAAACTATATAAAGTATTTATGATTCAAATTTATAGGGCAATAAAGTCAGTAAGAACTTGTAAGTAATAAATACTATTATTTAACACATGTAAGAGCAATTACTTTATTATATTGTGTTAAACACCTGTAATTCCCAGTGAAACGGATGCTCAGTTCTACTCAAAATTGAACAGTAACTAAAAATTTATTTTAAAAAAAATCTCCTTTTTTAATTGGTAATGATATTTATGTCTGTTTTCTTCGGAGCAGATTTAGGTGATCCTTATTCCCATCTGAGGGAAACAGGAAAGTGAAAATCTCTTCTCACATAGAAGTTAACTTGGCAGGAGACCCTAGATACTTTGTAGGAGAATCGCTCAAACATTTCAAGAAATATTTCAATTGCTATAGTGGATCCTAGTATAGCAAGATTCTGGCTATTCCAATGAAGGAAGGAAATCCAATACCAAGAAATTCCTAAGGGCCATAAATGTCAAAGCTTATGTGGCTGGTACCAACCTTCAGCTGTATGTTTAGTGGTACAGAAAATGTAGAACTGAGAAGTTCGGTAATGGAATTCCCTGTTCCCAGACTAGTTCAGAGATCATCTACAGTGAAACTGGTGACCAGATGCTCAGTTACAGTACTGCAGCTATTGTGTGGGTCCTTATAATAAACTTGCTTTTTCAGTGGTACCAGAACATACACAGGAGACAATTTCAGGATGTCAGGCAGTCCACATTTATGCCTTAAGCTACTCCTAGCAGCCGCTTGGCAAAGAGACAGGATTCTCCACAGAGAACCCTATGGGGCTAGAGGAACAGAAGAGGTGGGTACCCAGTTAAAATACAGGACATGAGTCTTATGTGCAAGCCCCGGTCTGCCCTGTTACAAATGGAAGAAAAACACCACTGGCTAGAATGGTGAAATATTTCTTTGGGCAATATGAAGACAGACATATTAACAATTCAGTGCATATTCCCAGCTGGGGGTGCTAGTTCAGTGGTAAGTCAAAGAAACACTACATCTTGGATCTACAACAGTGGTTACTGCAGAGCATATTTTTTTAACTAGATATTCACATCCAAATAAACAGGTTGCCTAGCATATGAGAAGTGGCATCATCATAGCCAGAAACATTATGGTCACTCTACTGAAGTAAGACAGTTCACTGTTACACAAAACACCTAATTTTTCCTCACATCAACTTACATGGAAATAGTTGATTGGTTCATTTATCCTCCTGAATAGCTGTCTCACCCACAGTATCTTTCCTGCAACAGGTGGCATGTTTCGAGCAAGAGGAGGGTTATCTTTCTGAATTTGGTAAAGCTACAATAAGAACAATATCATTAAACACATGGATTAAAAAATCCATTGAAACGTTAAACCGTTTTTCCTCTCGTACCACAATTTCTTCCTCCTCCCAAACAGATTAAATTTGTGTGGAGTCACACAACAGTTCATTGAGAAAAAAATGTATTGCTTCCCCCACTTGCTACTCTTCCGAGATGCACTCATTGATACTGCTGTTGGTATGTCTCCTGTCTTCATTATCTCATGCTGTTTCTTAGCTGTGCTCACTTACGGCAGAGCCCCGAGTACACCAAAAGGCATTGCAAACCTAGGAGCTGAGCAGCCAGTATTCAGAGCCAAGCCTGACAGGTGCAGCTGTGTAACTTTGGAGCCATCTGCTGTGAAAGCAAGCTGTGTAGGAAGTGTTGCGAGAACCCTCATTGGGGCTTGGGAACTGCTTTCAGGAAAGCCCTAAGCTATATTGTTAACTGAGAGGTTTTACCTGAATAGAAATGTCAACATTGTTCTTCAGACATATACACCTGACTAATAGCTAACATTTCAGGAGTTGGACTTGACGATTCTTGTGGGTCCCTTCCAACTCAGGATAATCTATGATTCTATGATATGCTCTATTCTACTAACTTCTCATCAATATACATGTAGAGACTCCTGGGTACACAGCCCATGCTTTTACCTGTGCCCAAGCTGAGGAAAAAAAAGGGGCCCTGCTCACTGAATGGCTGCATTATAGTCAAGAAAAATTTGGCCTAAAATTATCACATACCAAATTTGCATTGACAAATTATTCAAGCACTTTAGAACCAGTATTGCAGTGGGAGCAACTTTTTATTAGAAAAAACTTGCTTGGCAAAGATAAAAAGCAATCCAATAATATCTAATAGTTAGAACTAGCCAGTATATTGGCGACATATTCTTCAACAGAAGAAAGAGGAACATTTGTATCCAGCCAACTTTAGGCACGCAAACTCATGTTGTGATAACACAAACAGCTGTACTGCTTTAGCAGACACCACTCTTCACTTACTGGCATGTCTTCTTACCCCTATACTGTCTCCTGCACAGTGCCAACAAAAGAAACCCAAGTAGCTTCACAGTGAACTTAAGAGAGGAAACTGACATGGATGAAACCCCCTCAGAAAACATATCTATTCTTTTGGATGGGAAAAAGCAGCCAGGGGTGGGGTCAGTGATTTCTTAAGCAGGCAGTGCTGCTGAAAATATGTTCATTAAATTAAGCCCATAATTAGAGGTTCAGGAAGTGTTATATACAGTGAGTAGATAGGGAAAGGACACTCTAAAGTGTGGTTCAGAGCAGCTGTGCTAGGCTACAGTTTTAAGTTACTGTTTGGAGGAATCATTTTCTAGTAAGTGTAGAGTTTACAGATACTTGGCTCCTCATGTAAACACGTCATTCATCTGACAAAATGTAAACAACTCTAAAAAAAATATTTGCATCAGTCTGGTTTTCCAGATTCCCTTTGTACTCATTGAAGAAAAATGGCTGTTTCAAGGGAATTATTTAATTCTTCAGGTTAACACATAAAATAGATCAGATGAATTGACTCTAGAATACTCATTTCTTTCTTGAATAGAAAGGGAGTATGGATGTCTAGTTCTGATGCAGATGTTTATTTTGCAGACATATAAAGTCAGGTTAGATGAATTCCTCTCTAAACGTTTAAAGTCAAGTGACAAGTTAATTCTCATTTATGCTACAGTCATGGTACACTATACAAATCATGGAAAATTACTTTATAATGAACGTAAATGCAATTTACCTACATTTTATATCTATTTTATACTGTCACAGCATTAGATAATAGCCATGTATAAATGCAAAATAACTGTAGAGGCCTCATATAATAAAAAAAACCCAAAAGGTAGATGCAAGTGATGCACACAGCCAGTAAAGAACATACTTTTTTTTCTTCATTTAATGAAGGAATAACAGAAAAGATTTTGGTTTAAAAAGTAAAATTGTGATGATACATTTGCCTGCAAGAGCATGTATATCATATTTGCCTACACACTCAGATCTGTTTTCTGTAATAGGAAAATAGAAGTATGATAAATTGAGCATTGACAGTCAATTAGTGAAATAGACAGAATAAATAAAAATTATTGATATTAAAATATTTGTTCTTATTTTAACATGATGTTTAAAATTCTTTGCAAAGAAATAAATACCTTTTTAGTAGCTTCAAGTTCTGCTACATAATGTTGAAGAATACAACCAACTGTACACACTGTTTCTTCTTGAAGGCATGGCATTCTCAGATTTTGAAACCTGTATTAAAAATGAGTACCCAAAATAATATTTCTAAAACACAAATTTTTTTTTTATTATTATTTTGGGACAAATGAACGTTACATAAAATGAAAGAAGCACAAATCTAGGAAATGCTTCTGGATCTGGGAAATCTTTTTGCTTTGAGCAAGTTTAAGCAAGTTGAAAAGTTCTGCCTTGGTGGGGTTTTTTGTTGTTGCTGTTGTGGGTTTTTTAGGTTTTTCTTTTAGTATCCTCTTGTACATATGGAATAAACTGTAATGAAATTAAGAAACAGGAGAATATATTGATTTCCATGAGAAAGCTAAAATACATCTTTTATGATGATTACATGGTTCAGAACGCCAATAATGAAAAGTTCTTGATTAGGCCCTTTGTTCTAAAAGTAGCTGTGTTATTTAAATTGTGCTAATCAGTAATTTGAAGTTACTTTAAAATATTTTAAAACATAATTGCCAGTACCTTTGAAGTAACTGAAGTGCATGCTGTGAAGACAAAATTCTCCCAAAACAGGTACGCATAAATGTCTGTATCTGTATCTAAAGAATATATAATTTAGTATAGTTTTTCTAGTAAAATAATAGTGTTTTGATGTCTGATAATTTCTTAACATAGTAGCATTTGAAATTGTTACTGCTTAAAGCACAAAATAGCAGCCTTCACCGGTCTATGCTTAATATAATCAATAAATAGCTAGTGTCAGTCAAGTAATCTCTTAAAATGCAAGACAGTTTTAGCAAAGAATCAAATCATGTACTGAAAAAAGTTGCAGCTTTGTTCTACCCAAAATCTAACCACGTCTCCAGGCTAATAAACCACCTCCATGCAGATCGTTCTCCCAGGTCTCATAATTTTTGTCATTTTGGCTGCAGAGTGACTGATCTTCAGTGAGGACTGTATGATATATTTTAAAGCTTCCTTTGGAAGGAGGAGAAAGAATGGAAAAAGCCTCCCTGCAGACAAACACAAACTCTGTCCTCTTTGGATGAACAATATAGCCTATTCACAGTCCAAAGTCTCACTGACATTCAGGGAGATACTGAGTAAGTAGTGATGAGATTCTTGCCCAAGTAAGTTATAGGTAGCAATATTACTTACCTCTAAACCTTCAATTTTTGCCATGAAGTTCACAAAATCCACATCAAATTCTGTTTTTCGTGGATCAAGGATGTCATATTGTTTCTTTTGAACACTTTGGTAGATATTTTTGAATTTTACTGCCATAATATCTATCCCTTCGATGGTAGACAGACTCAGTGCACAAAAAGTTTGTACTACAGTTATCATCTCTGTAATCTGAAATATAAACATTATATTCATGCTCATAACAAGTTATCTGCTACTTCCTCTATAAACTAAAACCTGAGTAAAATAAATAAGCAATAGCCACTTCTCTAACTACTGCATTCAGAAATTGTTGCTTCTGAGCTTCTAAGTCAAGTATCTTCAACAGAGCATGGTTAATTCAGTTTTCAACATCAGTTCTCATCACAACCCAATACAAAGTAAAATCATCTTCATTTTTCTCAATGGTAAAGCATTTCTTTTTTATTTGACTGTTGGATTCAATAGGGTAATATGGAAAAAGAGTTAAAACATGACGTATGCATACTGATGACACAAAGAGATTTCACAGAATAAAAAAACCAACCATACAGATTAGTATATACACTGCATGATACGGAAAAACATCAGACTCACAGAATTCCTACCCTGTGGTGACTGCCCCATTATCGTCTTATCCCTTGTCTGACCTTATTCTGCACCAAGGAGCACCTATTATCTTTTCCACGCAAACTCTATGAATGCTAGTTTAAAATCCTTTCATCGGGTTAGCAAGCCAAATGTTAAGACCACACCAAGCAGCAGAATCATCTGAAGAACTGTGTTTGGCAGTAACAGGAATTTTTAATGCCTTAGGACACTATTCAAAAAACCAAAGGTGTGTTATTTTTCACATAGTTTTAAGCCTCCTAAAATAATGATCTAAGTCTAGATCAATTAGGTTATTTCTATCCACACTAACAGAGATAAATTGACAAATTCAGAAGGACGTTGTGAGGTAATTGCCTAAAGTATTGGGATGACTTACTCTGTGGAAGTGCCTAATTTCTCTCAATAAAGAGTTACAAACTCCTTCACAGGATGATTAAGAGCATGTATGTTGACAAGTGTCCACCTTGTAAACGGTTCTTTGGAGAAGCCGCCCTTCTCTACCGGTAACAACAGCACACAGTATACTCACTTTTTCTAATCTCCTACAAAAAGCTTCAGATTTTCCAAATATATACATTTCTGATACTTCAAATGTCTTTTCTCCTAGAGTTTCCAAAATCTCTTGCTTTGTTTCATGAAAGCATTTCTGATATTCTTTCAATAGAAACATGCAGTCCTAAAAAGTGAAGGAATAAATACCATACTCATTATGCTATACTTATGGGTGAGAGACTGGAGAACTCAAACTTACTGTCATTCCGAAGTGGTTAATTATCACTGAATCTAGTTTCAGTCAACAGGCAGTAATGACTTACATACAGTGGTTTTCTTTCAGTATGTGTACCAAATATTTGCAACATATGAACATACAACAGTACAATACAGTGAAAGACTTAACACTGGGAGATGAGTCACCAAAAAAAGAAAGGAAAAGTTTTAGCACTTGTTAAAGTAAAGAGTGGTTTAGAGGTCAGCGAAGAGCAGGTGATGACTCCTGCTTTAAAGGAGACATTTGAATATTAAGAAAAGCCATTGCTTACTTAAGAATGGTCAGACTGTCCTCTGCATAAGGACGGAATTTGGCATAACAGGGTAGTCCGTTTGGAACTCCCAGGGGAGTTAAAGGAAATTGGTTATAAAAATTAATGTATGTTGACAAGTCTGAGTTAAAGTGAGACTGGAGAATAATCCATCTTTCTCAGTCGATTATTTACTTAAAATACTAAGACCTTATCAGATGTAAAAATAATGACTGGTGAGAAATGTAAAGTCTATAATCATTGGAATACAAAATCTTCTGTTATTTCTTGGAAAACAGAAAGCAGATTTTATCACATTATATTGGCAGTCACCAGACTGTCTGAATATATGTGTATATGTAACAATTGGCTATAAATCACAGGAAATGAAAAAAGGTCCTCATTGAAAGGAATGTTTGGATCTCCAAGAATATACAGATACTAGAACGAAGACTGATCACCATGATTAGAAACTGGGCTTATATTTCTTTCATAGAATAATGAGGGCTTGTCAGCTGTAGAACAGCCACAAGATGACCTCAATGAAATACATGAATTATTAGAATCATATCCTGTCAGGTCAGGAGAGATACATTCAATACATTTTCTTTTGTACCTCTGGACTTAATTTTTAAAGGACTATGAAATCCTATGCCTTTCTGAGTAAGATAGGAAGTCAGTAGCTGAGGTCTGATAAAGGAGAAGATGGAAATGAAGTCAGTATTGGCAACCAGTAACCCCAAGCTGGACATATTTTGCCATAGCATATTGCATGTGCTTAATTTGTTCTTAATAGGTCACCATCAGCTGAGGAAGAGGAAGACTCTCTTAGCACTGAACTTTCGTGGTGTGCCAAGGAAATCTAGTATTGGAAGGAGCTACTGTAACAAAGTGGGGGTCTATTCAAATACCAGGTTCCCCACGGTAGAGGAAGATGGTACCATGTCAGATATCCTCAGGAGGGAAGAATGTGGATTATGCAGGATGACAAAATTCCTTGGTCGCACATATAGTGAAGATGCCAATTCCAAGGTCAGTGACGGACCACCCTGATAAAGACCAGGCCATTCTAATTTCAACAAATGCCAGTGGGCTAAGAAACGGGAAAACACTCAAAGCATCATGAAATAAAACACTAAAGAGGTGTGAAGTACTTGATGCATATTGATATGGACCTCCTTGTGCATATCAATAGGTAATCAATAGGTTTGACAGGTAAATAATAAAATAGCAAAATACCTTAATTTTTCCAATGACTGTTGATGTCTCCTGTTCCCAGACACGAGACAAGCCACCATCTGTAATATATGCTCTACATGTCGTGACCATTTGATTTGTAACCTAGTGCAGACAAATGAAAACAAGTAGGTCTCAAGCTTATAAGGAAATTTGCTTGTTTTGCAAAATCTAACAAAATTCTCACATGCATGTATTAGTACTATCAGAGTTCAGATAAATTTCACCTGTGGGAATAATAGTGGCTAAATAATATATGTAATATATATGACAAACACCCTATAAAAAGTCTTAAAACACTCCCAGAAGTGTATTTAAGTCCCAGGAAGTATTTGTAAGTACTATAAGTCCAGCAATACATATGCTTAAACACAGAATGTCACCAACCATAACTAAAGAACAAAGAGAAGTTATTTAACTCTAAATATTCTTCACTTTCATTGTCATCTTTACCCTTTGTAGTGTGCGCATCCTTATTTAAAAATTGCCATTAAAGAATTTTGTGTCCTAGCAGTATGTCTTTACCTTGGTCTCCCATGGCTATGAAAAAGAGAGAACCTTCTTCTACTTCTCAACCACAAAAATCCAAAGTTTGTAATGACAGAAAGAGAGAGAGGAGTACAAGAGTGAATGCAGATATAGAAAACACATCTCAGAGAACAGCTACAGGCAGATAACCTTTTTGGTCTACTAAATAATGTGAACAATTCAAAACAGTTCTCCCAACACATGAGAGTACTGTAAGCAGGTCTTAAGAAGCCCTAACTGAATAAAGACTGAAAACTGCTGCAACAAAGGCAGCCTCACACTGTAATACAATGACTGGTGAAGTTGTAGACAGGACCTCCAGTGTCACCTCTGATGATCTTTAAATGGAAGCAAACAGTAAGGGGGACCTTAAGCCACTGGATTAAAATAGAGCTTTCTCCTTACTATTTCTTAGCACAGCTTCATGTAACCAGTCTGTTATTAGCCTCTGTACTGAAATGCTCAATCCCTTAGACGATTAAATAATAGACACTAGCAAGTGTGAACACACAAACATATAAAACCCAATTATACAATAGGCAATATAAACATTGCTGCATAATCTATACCTAACATCTGATGTATGGAAAACAGCCCCCTTCATGCATAAATATAACCTCAAAAAAGCACATATTTCTTAATATCCTAGTTCAAATTGAATTGTAACAAAGCTTTACACTAAAACCTGGGGTGTTCTAAAAAAAAAAAAAAAAAGACAGTGGTATAATGAGGCTTTACTATGAATTTGCCCTATATGTTTACTGGAAGTGCGTATTTCAGTTATGAAGGATTTCTTTGTTCTAAAACCATTACACAAACCATCTTTTCCTGCAGTGAATACCTGGATTCTGCAAAAGACATTGGTATAATTACCTAGCTTGTCTTAATTTTCTGTTTAAGGAAGCAAAGTTTATGACCTGAGATTCAATTAACTTTTCAACTATGACTTGCTTACGAAAACAGGAACCTTTTGTCTTTCATATGTTTTGGAGGAATAGCCTAGTTAGACTGATGGCCATCTGCCTAATTAGGTCTTCAAAGCTGATAATAAAAGAATCTTTGTGGATTCAGTGATTTAGGAAACAACTGAGCAGATTAATTCAGATCAGGAGATCAACAAGAAGATAAGAAAAATGCTGAACGAAGAATAAAACAAAGTTCCTTCCAGAAGACAAGTCTCTAATCCAAGTTCAATCCTCTCCTGATCAACGGACTTCTCTTCCTTTCCCGTGCAGACACCCACTATTTATTATCAGTTTTTAACAAATCTCCTGCTGATTTAAACAAAATGAGGTTTTTTTCTGAAAAATCACATAATTTTTATAATGAATATTATACTTAATATATTTACCTTTATAAGCAATGATGTCATTCTCTCAGAAGTATTATAATATCTTGAAACACTGTGAATCATTCGTATAGCATTTATCAAGTTCGGTATTCCATGTGTCATTGATACCTTAAAGCAGAGTTTTGAGAAAAATTTTACTTTCTATTCTTAGCAACTATATTTCTATTCTATTGACAACTTCTAAATTACATTTTTCCCTAAATTACATGAACCAATCTTCAAAATGCCATGGCATCTTACCAAAAGGTTTCTTGTAAAAAAAAAGCTAATCACACTCAATAAATTTTTAAACCTCAACTAATAAAAACAATAAAACTCTTAGATGATTTGGTGATAAATCAGATTAAAGATATTAATATGAATATTTTAATATGCTATTTTGATGATCAAAATCAAACACTGATTCAAAAAGTACAGGCTGCATTTTTTGGCGCAAAAGGAAGTATTCTTCTGGCAGCTGACAGTGGTTGTCTGCGATTAACGCTTTTGTTTTCTGTCAGGTACAGCTGTTAAATATACTCTATGCAATTACATTGTGATAACAATCATGACATAAAATGTTTCATCCAGACATTTCACAAAACTCATTTCATTAATGAGTGCCTAATTCATTCAATCATCATATGAAACATCTAAATCTTTCACACATTTCATGAAATCATTGTTCATATCATTAAAATCAAACTGTGGTATTACAAGTATTCTGTAATTCAATCACTTCCAAAGTATTTGGGGAAAAAAGAGAAAAAAAGGTAAAAAATGATAATTCATTAACATTATCAGGGACTTATCAGAGCTGCAATTCAGAACATCAAGAAAAAGTAATTTTGACTGTCACCCCTCAACAGAGAAGCCAAGCTCCTGGAATTAACTTTGGGCTGCAAACTCAAACTAAACACACTAATATTGTGGATAGACATAGCAGGCATTTGCATTTGGCAATAGAGTGTGAAAGAAAGGCTATATGGTACAAAAACAACCCTCAGTGACAACATGTTGTTCATCATCACCGCCCCACCCCCCAAAATGGAATCAGGAGATTCTGAGTCTACTGGTTTTCTTTTTTAATCCTTGACAAAAAATAAAACCCTGAATACTGGACTGTATAGAGATTTCTCTGATTCAAAGCCCCGAGTTAAACGCCCAGTCTAATTTTTCATATAGTAACCCACTTCAGCTATAAATGTGACTATGTGTGACAGTGCGTACACTAAATGCCGTATTTTAGGCATACACTAAATATCATATTAAATCTGCATGTACTCCATTCCTGATCCACTAATATTTAAAACACTTTGCAACATCAGATATTAAATTCAGCTCAATCCAGAAAGTAGTTCTTTTAAAAACAGGATGTATTTAACCTGGATGCCATTATTTTTAAGTTGAATACCACAGAAAATCCTACCTAAATTATCTTGATCTCTGGAACAATGTTCTAAGAGATGAAACAGAAATTCAGATGTATCCAAATTGTTCCAGATTAAACAAAGAACTATAGTTAACTATCCTGTATTAGTAAAATTATGAACTCTTTAAATGTCTGTCTGTGTTTAAGATAAAAAGAATTTTATCTTAATAACTCTTATGAAGCAGCTCATCATTATGGCCTGGTACCTGGCACCCTCTAGTGATACTCTGAAGAGCTGAAGATAACCAGCTTCTCAGTAATGCTGTTTATCATACTCCTCTCTTCTACTACTCCATGCAGTATCAGCTCTATGTCATATATTATCACAGCCTTTTTGCTTCCCCTCAGTTAAAACTTTGAAGTAGAATCCTAAGCTGCCAGAAATTCAAAAGAAATGCAACGCTTCCTGACAGAGGACAGGAAGCAGGTAGGACCAAAACAAGGAGGACTAAAAACCAAAGCAGAACAAGCATTTTTTCCTATGGTATTTCCTCCTTCCATCCTATTCTGCAACAATCATCAGAAACATATACTTGCTATAATAATTAATAGTTAATATACCTAATAACTGGTATCTTGAGCTAGGGCTGAATAGTGTACACGGACAACCAATTATTTAAATTCTGACTAGCTGGTACTTCTGCAAATAGAAGCAGCTAATACTGTTTTCAATATCAAAACATTATTTTACCCATTTAGGACCTCATTAGGTTTCATTATTCTCTGTATAACTGAAATTTTGGTACTTTGGTTACAGCTGTGTGATTATTCATTGACACATATGGAATTTTCAATGAAAGATATTTTGAGATTCTTGTATTATAAAATACCTGTTTTAGCTCATTTTAAAAATAATATTGGCAGCAGGACTGACTTATGTATTTATGTTTATTGATAAAATACATATTTTAAAATATCATATTTTATGTCATATATAACAAACTATAATGCTTTAATATTTAGCTTGACAGGCATTTAGAAAAAATATCAGAAGAATTTACTTTTAAGCAAATACAAAGATTTCCTTTGCTCTGGGCATTCTATGTTAACACCTAAACTATGCTTAAAGAATGATGAAAGGCATACTTACAAGATCATAGTTATAAAGTGGCTGACAAACTTTTTCAAGTGTGGATAAGTGTTTCACATTATCTTTCGATTCATTTGCTGCATCTGTGATTTTGGCATTTAACTCTTGCCACATCTAGAGGGAAAACAGTCCTATAAAAAACTTCATACATAATGAACTATTTCTTTAACTTGCACTGATTTGCCAGAAGTAAGCCTTGGTAAACTAATTTTTAAAAGGCACTGCCAAAGCAGGCAATAAAAGTTATTTTCATTTATGATAATTTTTGTCTGTATCTCTAAAAATGTCTTGTTCTTTCTCTTAATACATTAAGCACACCAGCACCATACCTAAATTTTCCTCTCTTAATTCTCCTCAGGAAATCTCTCTTAGATGCAATGAAACAAAATAAATATCGCAAGCTTTGTCTACTATAGTGAAAAACAACATAAAAAAGAAAAAAAGAATTACCCTTAGTAGTTTAGAATGTCCAACGTTCAGAACATTAATGACAGCTTTGCAGTTTGGTCCTTTGATCTGCTCGATAATAAAATTAAATTTAGCAGACATACATTTCCAGTGCTCTAGTTCAGTCAGTGGACCTGAATCATCAGCTTCTTTCCTCATCTGCTTACTCTCAATCAGCACCTGCAACCAATTTGAAAAAAACCAAACGTCTACTATAGAGAATAGACAAATCATTATAAAGAAGAAGAGAAGAAACACTTTGAGGATACTAACTTAAAACTCGTAGTTATTGACACATGAAAATGGTTCTGATTTGGAAAAGCATCCTAAGTCTGAATTGCACTTAATCATATTCTTAAACTGAAATGAAGGCAATTAATACATATGTTCAACTGCTGTCATAAACTGGGTGAATCTCAGCATATATCCGTATTTTTTTCTTTAATCAGAATCTACGGATTGAAATGCACCAAATGTAAATTCACTTGTAAAAAACTTGAAGAACTATTTTAATAAAAACATTAAATATCATACATAAAGTCATAAATGTACTCATTTGTATGTTGATAAATGTGCAGTCAGCTATTTTTACGTCTTTTACATTTTTATTCTTGTGAGCTAAACACACTAAACATAGTATGCCCTTATAAGTAGAATATGTCCCAGTCTACACAGATTCTGTATTTTGACAAAGGGTTCTGTGCTTTATCACGGAAGTCTCAGACACTAATTTCTTGGATAACTGAGACCTTACCATCTAAGACTTACACAGGATAAAAAATACCCTAATGGGCTTGGTCAAAGATCTTTCTAAGAGTAGTATCTCATACCATGACTGGCAGCAGAAACTTAACAGGTAATGTATAGAGTATACCTAACTGTGTATATATATCCGGTCCTCGCCAGTGTTATTACTCCTGCATCCTTCTGTCCTCTCCTTCTTACTATTTGTGTATTAACTGTTCAGAAACTCTTATTCTTGCTAGACTGTAAGTTTCTAGGGATAAGGACTACCTACTTAACTTCACTTGTGCATAGAAGTGAAGTGCTTGTCTTACTCAGGTGGAGATGCAGCTGAAGCCTTCAACTAACTTCAGGCAAGTCTCGTATCATTTATAAATATCTATCCATATTCATGCTGAATTGATATGTTAAAACAACAACTTACCCGTTCAATTTGTCTATACCATATCATAAGTACTTCCTCTAGCTGGTGAACCATATCAGGATTATCAGCTGCTGCAGTTACTTTCTCAAAGGACTGGAGTTTAGAAAAATTAATGTAATCTATTTTTTTCAACTCAACAGTTCCTTCAGTGCTTATTATAGCCCCTGAAAAAAAAAAAAAGCTATTACAATGCAGAACCAATTAAGACTCTGAAATTAATTTCTACCAGTATAAGCAATTTAAATTTGGGAATATATGTCTGCAATGTTGTTTCAATATAATAGCCATTTTACTGCACTCGCATAAACCAGAAAATTCTTATTTTAAATCCAGTGTTCCTCCTTAAAAGTAACATATCACTAGAGAATTTTCTTAAGTAAATAATCTACCCATGCATTTGTTATGCAAGTAATTGATCATTTTATTTTTCCTTGCAGAACGGGAGAAGTTCCTTACCTATGTGCTACTGCCTTTAAACGGAAATTCTTAAGTAGAATTCCTTTACTTTGATTGTTTCCTAAATGCAATGCTTACCTTCTAAAAATGAAAGGTATCTGTTAATTGCTTCCACGAAATTCTGTTTGTCTTTTGTATCTTGTTTGGTCTGACTTAAAGCACCCCAATTATTTGTTGCGAGGATAGCAGGGAGAAAAATCTTTTCTATCATATTCCTGACACCATGCAGGAGTCCTTCAGTGGCATCCAAAACACCAAAGAATATATCCTGCATTGTAACAGAATGATTGTCAGTAATGCAGTACCTTAGACTGGAAACAGTATTATAAAATCAGTGTATTTTTTTTATAAAGGCACTCTAATTTGCCAATGAAAACTTTAATTTAAGGAGACAAAATCTTTACAAAATACTGATACCTACAATGTGAACATAAGATACTGTGTTCAAGAAAAAAGGGAAGTCAATAATGATTTAATACAGTTTTAAAAGGCTGCCAGATTATATTTTTGTAATTTCAGTTATTTCCCTATCATACAGAAAGTTTGGAAATTTTTTAGATATTACATAGCAATTAAGAATATTCTAAATGTCCCCATCTACAATTAGGTACTAAGTAATGAAATGCAAGTAGCAAAAATGTTCTGAATGTCTGTATCTGAAGTTATATTAGAAGCAATTATCTGATGGACTGTATATTACTTTGGATCAGATGAAATTTTTGTCTATTCTCCAAAACTAAACTTTACAAGTTCTATTTTCAATATTCCAATATTTTAAATGTCCCTCAAATCAGCAAATATTCACGTAACAAACTTCCTAGAACATAAATTTCCTTTTCTCATCACTTCAGTAAGGAATTTGACGCAAAAGTAATATTTATGACCAATATTGACTCTTGATAAAGACAGATCTTGTATCTTACTTCTAATAGTGCTTTTCCTCCTTCACCTTCTCAGCTCTCAAAAGGAGTAAAACATTTTAAATATATAATATGAAGTACATAAATTAATAATGGATTTTCTATCTGAAGAATTTGAAATCATATTAATTAGAAGATACATATATAGGACTGATTCTTATCAATTTACTGTCCCTTGAGCACTGCCCAAGTATTAAGATATGTAGCTATAAAGGAGAATGAAGCCCACACTTATCTAATAATTTGTCTTATATAGTTGTAAAGCAGAAGAACTCATGCTACATAATTTACGTAGGATAAAAGTGTATTTCATGCATTCAAAGATACATAAAAGAGAAAGGTATGAGTAAACTTTTCTTCTCCTGGTATTTGCAATGAAGTCTTCTCAGTGAGTCTTTCTAGTTTAGAGATTTCCTAAAATGTACTTAGTGGCTTTAACCTCTTCAGAAACAGCAAGGAGAATGAGAAATTAATCTAAATGCTGACTTCTTTAACAAGAGTCCTGTAAGACACTGAATTCACAAGATATCCTGAGTATTTGCTGAAGTAGTACTGCTATTCATTGTCTACCCAAAAAGGAGAGCAAGGAGCATGATATAGCTTAACATTCAAAAAACACAGTTACCAGTAACTTCAGTTATGTGACAATAGTGAAACAAATAATGAAACAAAAATAGCTACTTTTAGAGTTTTTAGTTTTTAAAATATATGAGAGAATACCTCATGTATAGTTTTTGCACTTATAGGGCTGTCATTCTTACAACGAACGAAAAATAAGCATAGTCCTACGAATTTGTCTGGTGTATTGTCCACATAAAATCGCATCATTTTACTTCCTTTTACAACTCCTGGAATTGTCCGACCACATTCTGAAAAGAATTTCATAGGTGTCACTATTTTTAAAAGTAAGGTTATTATAAAATGCTTAAAATTAATATAGTGAAATAAAATTCAACATTGAAATAATTTATTTTCTTCTCTTGTGTGTAAGAGAAGCAAAAATGGCAGAATCCTTGGCTGTACTTAACCACACAATTAAAAATCTACACCAAACACGTAACACATGTCTTTCAAAAGCAATTTTGGCACACTGTGCTGCACTGAAAAGGGAATTTGCTCAGGCCCATCATTCTGGGTTAATTTGCTGGTGACTGAGGTACTTTGTTTATTCGCATTCACACTATGAAACAAGATGTCATGCCTAAGTAAGAAAATAGAGAATATGAGATATCCTCAGGTCCTCTGTAGACATAATCCTATGCAATTTGATTGTTTCACATAAATAGGTAAGGGAACAGCGTGTTCAGTGCTTAGAGGATCATTAGGGATTTTAGACATTAAATTCTAATTCTCTACTGAGCATGTGGAAACTGAAAATTTTCAAATATTTATAATAAATGCAAATTCAGACAGGTTTTCTAAAAGTACTTTCTAATGAACTGGGGGCATAACTCCTTTAAGAAAGAGTTGCAACCACTTTAAGAGAAGTTTAAGACTGAATTTTTTCTAAACAATTTGACTTGAAGCAAGCATTTAAAACAGGAATTTTCAGTCCTTATAGCAAAAGACTGCAAAATTATGAACAAGTAAAACCAGATTTTATTCTGGGAAACATTAAACAAAATTAACGATAGAAGGCATTATTACGTCTGCCTGTATTAATATTGCTAAAAATTTACCTATTCCTGGTGCTTCTCCTTCTTGATAGAAAACTCTCAACGTTTTACTTCTTCCCTTGGCAAAAAAAGAGTCAAAGGCTTCCAACTGTTAAATCAAAAAGTGAATACTTGTTACTCAAAATATTAAATTTTTATGTGCCTTTAAGACATGCAAAAATAATTTGACCATGCCACTATTTAAAGTTTTGGTGGCATGTAATGTTTATCCTCAAATATTGTGAGGAGTTACAAAAGAATAGATATTTCAAGTATTGCCTTCAAGTACTGAACCTACACACACGGGCTCCTGATAATTGTGTATCAAATGTTTATGGTCTTGTCCAGTAATGCAGAGACACTGGAGGATATTCTGTCACTCAGAGAGATCTGTAAGTCTAAAGTATCAACTGGAAGTAACTGGCCATGAAAGACTTAGAAACATACACAGCACATTTGCATGACTTGACATACCCTGTTATTGCTACTCTACCCCTAAATGTAAAATATTCATTTGTAAAACAGGAGTAGCATGACACATGAGGATTTTATTCTGGAGACATGAATTGGCCACATTGGCTCCAAAACCTTTTCATGATGACAAAGATTTTGGTGACCTCTGGAAGGACAATGAGATCACATCTGAGGGAGACCATGCTGCCCCAAAATTAGCTTACTGTACCTGTCCATAAACTGGCCACCCTAAAACACTATGGGTCTCTAGATGGCCATTTTGACTTTGTCATGCTATACAATGTGCTTTGGATAGTAAGGATGCAAAGCTTTGAAACAAATGCTGTTTGTGTATGGATTACCATTCTGAAGAACTTGCCTGAAATTATAGCTACGGTTTCCAAAATCTGAATTTTCAAACTGCCTTAGGCAATTTGTGTGTCCTGGTAAAACCAGGATATGTGATTTAGCAGGAAGTGAACAAAGCTCTGAAAAGCACTGAAAGAAGGTTTGGAGGAGATCAGAAGGTACTGATCTGGGCAAAATCCAACTTCTTTCACAGTCTCTGTAGTTATCTGCAAGGATGACTAACTCAGCAAGATGTGACTGGGCATTCAAACTGTCCAACGGAAGGGCTCAACCTTGGTAGTGAGACCTCCTGTTTCCTCCCTGTCAAAAAAACTCAGAAATTTAGCTAGCAAGTATGTCTGGAGATGCATCACCCGTTCAAATACAAAGCATGCACCTCTAGATGTGGTATATTTCTTATAAGCATGATTTTTTACCCAAAATAAACAAATATAAAATCTGAATCAGAATGGTGATAGGTAAATGAGTGACACACAGGTGGACAGAATTTAAACCCACTCTTTTGAGAAGACAACATTGTGCAAAAATAAAAGAGGTAAAGGCAAGCCAGCTCTAGAAATGCATGCTGCGCTTTCATGTTGGTTAATAGGCACTACTGAATAACAGGGTTAAAACTGAGGAAAATACAGAAAAATTCATCCCCAAAAATAGTGAAACAAAAGAAAAATTGGTAAAGTACTGAAAGGGCAATGACAAAAGTCAGAAAAAGATTCACTACTGCAAAAAGCACTCCAACTTGAGAGGAAGACAAAGGCGAACAGTAACTTTTGGACTTGTATGATTTTACACAGGAGGTAAGACTCTGGCTTACTGCTTCTGCAAATAGCTTCTGGTTCAAGTCCATGTGGTACAAATGCTCACTGCATGAATACACATACAGGTTAATGCTTTAAAGGGTAAAACTTAACTCATGGAGGTCAAAGACGTGATATGTATATGGGAATTTACTAACTGACAATTTGTTAAAGGACAACGTTGACACAGCCCCAGCAGCCTAAACTGTTTATGAATAAACTAAAACTGGAAAGTCAAAAATTTCCAACCATAAAAAGTTTTCAGATGGTCCTGGTGACAGCAACCCCATCCCCAAACCAAACCAAAACTTAAAAAAAAGGCTTAAGAACCCAGAGGTTCTCAAGTGTCTGAATTAATCAAACTCAGTGTGCAACAGCAGTTTTACATGAAGTCGGGATGATCTAAAACTATATACCATTTAGCAACTGTAAAAAAAGGAAATGTTAGTTGATTGACAACACTTAAAGCACCTCTATGTTGCGTAAGCATAAGAAAAAACAGGACTGTTTAAGTACATTTTATGATATATAAACATCAGTAAACAAACAATAAACAACAAATTTGGACTGGGACTAAATTTGGCTTGTAACTGAACAGCTGAAGTTCATAGAATCATAGAATAGTTTGGGTTGGAAGGGACCTCTAAAGGTCATCTAGTCCACCCCCCCCTGCCATGGGCAGGGACATCTTCAACCAGATCAGGTTGCTCAGAGCAATGTTTCCAGGGATGGGGCATCCACCACCTCTCTGGGCAACCTCTTCCAGTGTTTCACCACCCTCAGCGTAAAAAATTTCTTCCTTATATCTAGTCTAAATCTACCCCCCTTTAGTTTAAAGCCATTCCCCCTTGTCCTGTCACAACAGGCCCTGCTAAAAAGTCTGCCACCGTCTTTTTTATAAGCCCCCTTTAAGTACTGATAGGCTGCAATAAGGCCTCCCCGAAGCCTTCTCTTCTCTAGGCTGAACAACCCCAACTCTCTCAGCCTTTCTTCACAGGAGAGGTGTTCCAGCCCCCTGATCATTTTTGTGGCCCTCCTCTGGACCCGCTCCAACAGGTCCGTGTCTTTCTGATGCTGAGGGCTCCAGAGCTGGACACAGTACTCCAGGTGGGGTCTCACCAGAGCAGAGTAGAGGGGCAGAATCACCTCCCTCCACCTGCTGGCCACGCTTCTTTGGATGCAGCCCAGGGTACGATTGGCCGCCTGGGCTGCAAACGCAAGTTCTAACAATTGATTTGTTTGCTCAAAGGAGACAGTATCTGGCTGAGTTTTGAATGCTAAGTCAAATCTCTCTAACAGACAAAAATACCATTATGCAACCAGAGAAGGCAAGGGCCATATCCTTTTACGTACAGCCATACCTGAGTTTTACTAAAAGAACAGTTTAGCTGGTTGCTCCTGTTTGTTCAAGCACTTTGAAATACTATGAAAGACACAACACTAAATACACACAAAGAATGTCTGAGCTTTCAGAAGTTCCACAGGTTTGGGATCTACTCACTCTACAAACCCACTTTATCCCATCTTTTAAACATTCAAAAATAAACAAAGCACTCAAAACTGGAAATTATTTAATGGGTCTTTCCAAATGCAATTACATTAATTAAATGGCACAGGATTAATCTTCCCTTTTATTACTAAATAACAACCAATTTTCAAAATGTTCCTATGAAGTTACACATATTTTTGCAGAATCTTTGGCATCTCAGTGAGAACTAGCTTAACAAATAAAGACTATTATCTTTAGAATATAATAATGTCAGGCTGAGATGGATAAAACTTGTTGGAACTGGTGGATGTGACAAGAATCCCTTGGGTCAAAATAACTGCAGTAATTACATTTTCCTTGAGGTAAGAAAGATGAAAAAGCCACAATCAAAAACCCTGTGAATGTTTGCAAATCTGCCAGGAAACTAAGCTGAATGATTTAGTCAGGTATCATTTTAGATGAGTTGTGTGCCTTATTAATCACATTTTCTGGCAGAAACAATCTAAATGATGGATAACACTTCATATCAAAGGGGCAATCTGCTACCTATTTTGATTAAAAATTGAAATCAACAAACATACAGAACAGACTCACCGAAGGGGCATCCAAAATCATTTCTTCCACAGTTGTTAAGTCTAAACCTAGCGTGATACTGAGAACTTCAAATACATATTTATATGAAGCATCAACTTTTGTTCTTCGATATTCTCTTGCTTCTTTGTATCGAGCCTAAAACATTAAACATGTCTTTCAAACTAAAAATATACAAAGTGTTCGCAACAATGACCTACTACTTAACTTGCAACTAATGCTGAAATGTATAATCTTGTATTATAAGACTACATAACTGCCCTACTCTTTAAAAATATCTAAATTTCCAGAGGCTAACAGAAGAACAAATTATTAAGAATTATTACAAAATGGAAAGTCAACTCTGAGGATATGTCAAGGAAAAGCAAACATTAAATATACTACACTAGATTTTAAAATATTTGTGTGCCATATGAACTGGTTTTATTTTTCACATTCAATATTTCAATTTGTTATATTAATACAGAAAGGTCACAAATCAATTTAAAACTAAAGTATCTAGAGTGGGTAAATATTTGCAGGAACTAAGCTGGGTACAGCTTTGCTTCAGTGTAAATTATTCAGTTAGCATCTCCTGCTTCCTTCCTCTATTACTTTAAGGTAAAATGTTAAAATACTGCAAACATTAAAAACAAAGACTCACTCACTTTCTACCAGGAATAATTTAATAAAAGAACTGAGTATAAACAAAAAGGAAAGAGGCAAAAAAGAAAGAAAAAGAAAAAAGAAATAATTAATATAAACAGAATTTAATCATCTAAGAAAAGAACCAGATATCTATTTCAAGACCTAAGGTTGAATACTAAACCTGTTTTTCTTTTAAAACTTCTTGCAAGGACAAAACTCCACTAGTGCCCCGGCAAAACCTAGACAACCTTCGGCTTGCAACAGAAAAAGACTCTTGGGAAGAGGAAAAGCTTGCTATTTGTCGAGTATGGCAAATAGATCTGGCTACAATATCTTCCGGTGTAACAGGAGCAGGCACAGAACTCTCTGCAGTGAGATTAGGCCCAGCACTATTTGTGGCAGCAAGACCAGGCCCAGCGTCTTCTCCAGTGTTTGAGCTTTCTTTATTATTTTTTCGTACCCCCTCCATTCTGAAATCTGAAAAAGAAACTGTGTTTATTAACAATCCAGATTTTTCAAGTCTACCTTTTCAAGAAGACCAGAAGGAAGAGCAAGGTAGGGAATAAAAACATAAAAAATGAGAGCATCTCAAAAGTGACTTCCCATGTATATAAATTTAATAGTCTCATCAAGTCCTCTTCAAGTTCTTAAGATAACAGACATATGTGTATACATTTTATGATAGGTTACAAATGTCAAGCTGAAGATGACTACAGAAAGATTTTTTAAAAATAATTTATCATACATTTATGTTTTGTGGACTGAACATCTTTCTATATAAATAATTTTTAAAAAATATTAATACTTCCACTGAATATCTGATTACTGAGAAATAGAAATGGTTTAGAATATAAATGATGTTTAAATTTTAGTTTGCAAAATATACACATATACTCAGCAACTGACCTTACCAAAAGCCTTGCATACACTTCCATACCACGTCTTAAAGCATTGCTCACATAAGCACTTACACGATTTTTATACAAATGCCCTGCCATGCATGATATTCTTAACATGTGTGTTTGCAGAAGTAATGCAAGATGGAGGGTGTTGGGCAGTATTTTTTCAGTGGAAAAAAATTAATTTAGCATCAGATATCTTCAGCATGATGAAGCAGTCAGACTTTCTCTTAATTCTGTGCCTAAACCCTGGAACGCTGCAGTTCATAGGGAATGGATACCATTCTTCAACAGGAGAAAGGAATTTCTCAGTCCCTCTCCTGGTGGCCAAGGACTAGTAGGTTAATCATACTAGATGAGGATTTCTAAAACGGCCCAAAACAAAGTATATTTATGGCTGACTGCTAAGCAGTAGGCTGGTATGCAAAGGTGGCCCCTTCCATTTTCTTCCCCTTTCTACTCCACTAGCACATAAGCCTGGGAAAGGTTTGGTTTGTGAATCCCAAGCCCATAATTCAGGACTACAAAGAAGCATCTAAATCCTCTCACTCCATGTTTTCCTGTTATGGGGCATACTCATCCACTTGCACATGCTGGCTGCCATCAATCCCATTTGGTAGATCTTAACACTCATAAATATATATATATAAAATTAAACGTTTTATTCAGTGTCCTCAGATCTACACATGGATTGAGCAACTAGTCTTAAGGCACTGTAATCATCAGTAGAGCTATACCTCAAGTCCTTATCTTGTGTCTAATTTTCCCTCTAAAAACAGCTTGTTCAGTTTCACAGGGATGTTATAATGCAGAAATATTTTATAAAACAAATGTTAAGGTAGGTCATTAAGGTCATACCCAGGATAACAGATAAAAATAAAAGCACAGAAATTGTTGCTCTACTCAGAGTACTATTACTATAAGAATTAAAACAACTACCAAAGACTATGCAGTAGTTTTTACAAAGCCTTAGGGCAGCTAACCACGTGTGTAACTGTGTATTATACTCTCTTAGACACTATTGCCTGATTCAGGAAATAGAAAATCAGAAGCAAGGCTGACATGGAAGGCAACACCTGGTGCTACATTACTAGCTCCTTATTTTTGCCCATGATTAGCAAAGTGGCCACTGTTCTATGGACTTTGGCATGCGATCACCTGTTATAGAAAATGTTCGTCTCTTTCTCAAAGTAAAAATACTAAGAAAAAACAACTTAGGAAAGTCACAAAAAAAAAAGAAAAATGTAAAATCTAAATTAATTAATTCCTTCCTTTTCCTTCATGTTTGTCTGACTGGGCTGGTCATCTATAAGGTTAGCAGTGGTACTTTCCTCCTTGACCTTCAGGTGGAATAGCTTGGATGTTAATTTCCTTGCCTTTTAACTGGTTCTCTTGCAGTTCGACAGTGAAATTGATACCATTCCCTAAAGCTCAAGATGAGAGAGGCGGTGTTCTCACAGCTTTCCTTAAAAACAAAGACTACATTGTATACTGGCATCCTCCCTGACTCCAAACAGCTATACTGAAGACGACTGGTGGCTCAGCTGAGATTTTCACACTTTTCAAAAACCAGCATGACCTCCAGCTGTCTACCTATCCTAGTTGTAACAGCTGATGTGCTTTTATATTAAAACTTTCTTTCCTCCCTTCCAGGGTGCCCTAAACCTTGCCTACCGGACCTGTTCGCGCAAGGAAAGTGAGTCTGCACATGCCTTAGAAGGTAGGAGGATGAGGTGAGGGAAGGAAGGAAGGAAAAGCGGAGAATTCCCAAGCATAAAGCATGAAGGATAACGACTTCTGGCTCTCTTCTAGAAAGCTGAGGTGCCTCAGCCGGCACTTTGGCAGAGACATGCAGGCAAAGAGCCTCACCGACCTGGCTGCTGCTATGCCTCACAACGCGGGGCGAGGGGAGCTGCCCCCCCCAACCACACAACCCACGGCGGTTGCCCCCTCACAAGACAGAGCAAGCGGTTCCAACGCCTGCCGCGAGGAGATTCCTCCGCGCCAGCCCTCCTGCCTCGGTGCTGGGTCTATACGGCGCGGCGG